GCTTTATAATACAATTTAAGATCTGGTATGGCTAGTCCACCTTCCCTAACATTTCTTTTCATTACCCGTGGTATTCTGCACCTTTTATTCTTCCAGATGAATTTTGTTATTATTTTTTCTAGCTACATGAAATAATATTTTGTAGTTTGGTTGGTATGGCACTGAATAAATAAATTAACTTAGAATTGCTGTTTTTATTATATTAGCTTGGTCTACCCATGAACGTGATGTTTTTCTAATTATTTAGATCTGACTATTTGTGTGAAAAATGTTTTGTAATTGTGTTCATATAGTTCCTGGTTTTCTTTTGGCAGGTAGACTCCCAAGTATTTTATGTTGTCTACGGTAATTTAAAATGGAATTTCTCTTTCTATCTCTTGCTGTTGGGCTTTGTTGGTAATATATAGAAATGGCAATGATTTATGGGGGTTTATTTTATAGCCTGCAACTTTGCTAAAGTTGTTTATTACTTCAAGTACTTTTTTACTTGATTCTCTAAGTATATTATATCATCTGCAAAGAGTGATAACTTTGTTTCTTCTTTGCGTATTCTAATTCCTTCAATTTCTTTTTCCTCTCTTATTGCTAAAGCTAACATTTCTAGTACCATATTAAATAACAGTGGTGATAGTGGACATCCTTGTTTCACCCCTGGTCTTATTGGAAATGCTTCTAGCTTATCCCCATTACATATAATGCTTGCTGATGGTTTTAGGTGGGTGCTGCATATCATTTTAAAGAAGACTCCATTTAAAGAACTGGTATTTCTAAGAGTAAGGCAAAACCCAGAAAGTGGGGTAGGGGAGTGGGCAGCAGCTTGTGGCAAGATCTACAGCAACAATATAGAAACTAGAAGAGGTCATCCAAAATAGATTCCTTGGAAGTTTTAATACCATGAATATTAGAGATAATGAAGAAGGAATAAATAAACATAAGAGTCGTGACTTAAAGGATAAAAGTCTAGAGGAGACAAAAAAAGAAGAGAAGTCATGAGGAGGGGAAAAATCCTTTTCACGAAAAGGCACAAATGAAAATTTTAAACTATCAAGAAAAAGGGAGGAGATGAAAGGGGAGGTTCACATGATTACATGATAGAAAAAAGGTGAAAGAAAAATGCACTAACTAGGAAAATGCCTAAAGTAGGGAAAGAGATGACAAACGGGTTGAAAATGAGGGGTTTATGGAAATCACATTGCAACAAAAAGTGAGATTCAAAAAAAGTCCTTTTGCGTTAACTTGCAGTTGATATGTATTGCAATGGATGTGGCAAAGTGCGGAAATGGGTGTGTGTTAGGCGATTGAGACAAGTCATCCCATGAAACTGGCACATAAAATAATAGCTCATAATTTTATGGCCCCTTAAAATTTGCAAAGTATTTTCTCACTTTTATTTTTTGATGTAAGTATATGAATGGGAAAATGTGATAAGAAATGGAAATACAGATTTGAATTTTAAGTCTGAGCACTTTGGTTTGAATCCTAACTCTGTTGCTTAGGATCTACTTTCAAGACATGAACACAACACTGAAAACCTCCCTGGGTCTTTTCTTATTTGTAAAATTGGGGGTTGGGTTACCTGAACTTTGTTCCTTTCAGCTCTATATTTTTTGATTCTGTGATTAGAATAACATCAAGTAAACCTATGGATTAAAAATTGTGAATTTTCTGTAGTCTTAACTTTAAACATAGTAAGTTGGAATGTTCATCTGCCAATAGCTCCACTCCTCTCTCTGTAGGGTGAAAGTATGGTAAAATACTTAGGATTTTCCTTGTGGTTTAGAGGCCTTTTCTCATCTTCATTGTACATGCCCAATCATCCAGAAGTCTCTATTGTCACTTAATGTGAGTGTAGACTTTTGCAGGTTGCTCACATTTTTATATATTTAATGCATATTTGTTCATTTTTTTCTCTGTAATATTTCAGTTATGGTAAAATTGTCATTCAGTAATTCTACTCTCCTTGAAATCATATGGAGTGATGTACATAATTGAGTGTTGAATTTGGACTTAAAGAGTCATAGGATTTAAAGTTGTAAGCGATCTAACCCTTGTAAGAAAAAGAATCCCTACTATGTAGTGCATCTAATGAATTGTCATCCAGCCTCTGCTTAAAGATATTCAATTAGGGGAACTAACCACCTCTAAAGACTTTCTCATTCTACTTTTGGCTGTCTCGGATTGTTAGGAAGTCTTTCTTGACAGGCCTAAAATTTCCTCTTTACAACTTCCACCCATTGTTTCCAGTTCTTCCCTCTGGGGTCAAACAGTCACATTTTCCACATCACAACTCTTCCAATACTGAAGACAGCTGTTCTCTCCCTCGTGAATCTTGTAGTCCCCAGGCTGAACATCTCCAGTTTCTTCAACTGACATTCATATGGCATGGAATCAAGGGCCTTCACCACCCTGGTTGTTTTACTTTGTAAGTCCTCCAGCTCATCAGTGTGCTTGTTAAACTATGGAACCCCTGATTGAGCACAATACTTCTGATATAATCTGACTAGGGAGTCTCACCTCTTTACATCTGGGTGCTATGTTTCAAAATCTAAAATAGAAGAATGATGTTCCTGGTGGGAGGGAGAAGGAAGGGGAAGGGAAGAAGCTCTAGGTAGCAATGAATAGAAAAGCTTCTGCAAAGTCCCTTTGAAGCCCAGGGCCTAAGCCCAGGCTGAGATGCTATTTGTAAAAGCAGACATTCAGAACTTTGAATGTCAAAGTGGAGTGGTTCTATGTGAATAACAGTGTAGCACAGAGATAGCCATCATAATGTAACTCTGAGCTTACGTGGACTGGATTATGGGAGTTGACATCAGAAGAATAATTATCTCTTTAGCTTATAGCCCCTACCTTGAGCTTCTCCAGGAAAATCTAGTATATTCAGGATATGTGGATAAAAATATTCTTAACTCCAATGTGTTTTACCCCATTGAAAATGCAGGAGACCTGAAGGACTCAAAAGAACCCATAAATAGAAACAGAATCATAATCATGTAAAAAAGCACTCAGTAATCCGTTAGCTTCCTCTGGAAAGGGAACTGAATATGAGATTGCCAGTAGGGCTACACCCTGACATTCTGATGAATTCCCACAGGGTAATAGACAGTCCCTTTCAAACTAACAGAAAACACTCTGTAGTTTAGATTTCCCCTGAAAATTAAACATTTTGGGGTACTGCTGAGCAAGCAATTACATTCTCATTATAGGGTCACTGTATTGTCTGAGGAACTGATTGACTTTCCTCTCCAAGTTATGCTGCCTAGGAAATTATATTTACTTCCCCTTTCTTTCCTTAAGGAGTGTTCTGAATCAAGAAATCTTCTCTCTATAGAAGGTGTAATCCCCAACCTCTTGAAATTGTGATTACCTATGAAGTAACTTGACAGCTCCCAAAGTTCATATTGTAAAAGTAATAAACTTATTTTTGCTTAATTAATTTGATGAATTAATGCTCTAAAGCCAAGGAGAATACTACATTAGATTTCTTTTAACATTTTTTATTTTTTAGATTTATAGTAGCTTTCCTCTGCTCTTTTAAAAATTATTTATTAATGCCTTTTGTTTTTGTATTGATCATTACCAGATATACCTTTCCCCTTTGGGGAGGGGAAATGTAAGCAAAACCAGTTGACGAGCATATACAGCATTCCACACCCAGAGGCCTTCCATCTCTCCAAAGAAAGGAAGATGGTGCATTTCTAATGGTGCATTATACTTAAACAGAATTGAGTTTTATTTTCATCTTCTTTTCATGTATGTTAACATAGTCATTATGTATATTGTTTTCCTGGTTCTCCTTTACTCCCTATCAAGTCATATAAGACATCTCATATTTTTCTGAATTCTTCGTATTTGTGTTTTCCTATAACACTCCTTTAATTTTATGTATGATAATTTAACCATTCCCCAATCGATGGCACCTACCTTGTTTCTGGTTCTTTGATAGCACAAAAAGTACTGATATGAATGTGAAAAATACTTAATTTAGTACTTAAATGTGATTTCATCAGTGTTTATATTTCTTTCTACTTTATTCTTGGCTGTAGATAGCCTAAATAATTCACTTGGTGGCTAACTTTTACTAATGAGGAATTTCTTCAAACTTAAGCTAGACTGGTCTTTGGAAACAGCCATAGGTCATCACTGGGCCCACATTTGTCCCTGAACCCATATATTTGAAGATTTTCCAACTTGTTACAAGACCTCTGCCAGAACTTGCTCCACTGGCATAACTTCCTGAAATCTGCCTCCATTGTGTGTTAATACATTGGCAGAGAATTAGTGAATGATTAAGAAAATTTTGGAAATAAATATTTAAATTAGAAAGATTTTGTAGCCACTAAATAAATCTAAGATGGCAAACTTCATATCTAATATACCGATAATAGTCTGAGGTCTTTTGTTTGTTTAATTAGATATTCTGGTTCACAGTGTTATTACTTACTGTTCTCTGTATGTGGCATTCAATCTCATGTCTCCTCTTTCTTTATATAGACTGCCTCCCATGCCTTGACTACATTGCTTCCTCCCTAGCTTTCTTCAAGGTTCAGTTCAGCCTTTGAATATATTTTGCATTTACTTAGCTATGTACAAGTTTTTTCCTCCGGTAGAATATAAGCCTGGTGAAGGTATGAGCTGTTTTGGTCTTGATTTTGTGTCCCTGCTGCCTAGCATGTTCATAATATAATAGAACTTAATAAATGCTTATTGAATGATTATCAGGTGTTATGGTTTGTCAGTTGAAATTATTCATCAAAATTATTTCATACTGGAACTTATGGAATACAATTGAATCAACTGTGATTTCAGAGGTACTTCAGGATCTTTTAATTCCTTGGAATAACTATAAAAGTAGTGATTGGCAGATAGTGGGTGTGTGGAAAATGCTGGTTAATAATGTTCTAGAAGATAAACCAGGCTACATTGTATTTTGTATGTAGCATTTTTGTTTTCATGAGAAGGGACTGTCTGCTTATGTGTTTTTTTTCCTTTTTCTTTTTTAGAATATGGTTTCTAGTTTTCGGGTTTCTGAGCTACAAGTATTGTTAGGCTTTGCTGGACGTAATAAAAGTGGACGCAAGCATGACCTCCTGATGAGGGCTTTGCATTTATTGAAGAGTGGCTGTAGCCCAGCAGTTCAGATTAAAATCAGAGAACTTTATAGACGGCGTTACCCGCGGACAATTGAAGGTCTTTCTGATTTGTCCTCGATAAAACCTTCAGTTTTCAATTTGGACAGTAGTTCATCACCTGTGGAACCCGACTTGACTGTTGCTGGAATCCACTCATTGCCTTCTACTTCGGTCACACCTCAGTCTCCTTCCTCTCCTGTTGGTTCAGTGCTTCTCCAAGATACTAAGCCTTCATTTGAGATGCAGCAGCCATCTCCCCCAATTCCTCCAGTCCACCCTGATGTTCAACTGAAAAGCCTTCCCTTCTATGATGTTCTTGATGTTCTTATCAAACCTACAAGTTTAGGTAAGTGTTATTTCTTTTGGTCAGAAATTAAATAGAATAAATTGTCAGCTGTTTGTTAAGTGGGTTAGTGTTCCTGCACAAGTGAGTTACATTAAATGATTAATGTAGGTTACTTGTAGCTTTTTACCTTAATGTTCATTTTATTATGCTGCCATCACATTCCAACCTGAGTTTTATTTGTATAATGTCAAATTTTGCCAACCTTTTGCAAAAACCTTTGGTTTTGCTTTTTTTTTTCTTCCCACCATGACCCAGAAACCCATTCAGTTGTACAGATAAAAATCATATTGAATTAACCATAGCTTAGTTTGGAAGACATTTGTCTAGAATGTGGTGGTCAACTTTTTCTAAGTAATATTTTTTTAATAGGTGTTTGACAAAAAGATGGTTTTTGTTTCTGAAGAATGTTGCCTGTTTGTTTTTAAGTTTTTTGGTCTAGCCTATAGCAGTTAACATTGGCTGTAGTTTTGGTGTCCCTGCCTTACAGTGATCACCGTGAGTATGACTCAAGAAGAGTATAAGATCAATTAGGAGGTAGATAGGGTAGGATCAGGAGCACTCCAGACCTAGAGTCTCCTGAGAAATAAGACAGAAGGTCCAGGGAAAAGATGAATGTGTTCTTGGAATGCCCTTCATTTTCCAATGAGGAGTGATTATGAAAGAAGTGTGAAGGGAAAGGTAGGGGAAGACTATGCTTCTTCATGCCTACTGTAAGAGTAGTATTTTCTTTATCTTTTTCTTAAAGAGGATAGTTACAAAAGTAAGCATGTTATGTAATGAAATGGCATCACTTAGGATCTTAGGATTTTAGAGTAGGCCTCATGATTTTACCTTATAGAATTATTAAAATAGCCCATTACATATCACTTTTCAGTGACATAAGCATGGATATTTATGACTTGGCCAAAAAATGCATACAAACAATAAAGCACCATAAAAGTACACGATATTTGTTGGAGAAAGCTTTGTAATGGATGGAAGGTTTTTGAGCAAGCCCTTGAAAGATGACTAGGATTTGGATATGTTTAAGGGAAAGGAGATCACATTTTATATATAGAAAACAACATGAGTATAGCCCTAGAGACAGAAATGAAGATGGTTTTATCTCCAAGCAATAAGATTGCCCTGACCAGAGAGGAGCATTGAGTTTTTAGCAGTTAGTAGAAATATCTCTTGACTTATTTTTAAAAGTCAGGATTGTAAATCTTATTCAGTTTTGAACTGCTTGAGTTTCCTTATATTTCAAAAATTAAATAAATAAGTCATTCCCCTCTATAAATAGTCATATATTTGTGTGAATTGGCATTTTCAAGATAAACAGGAACAAAAGCTGTATTATTATGGCATTAAGTGCAAAAATGGCATAAGGCTACCACTCTTCCTTGTTGTTTACAATTTATTAGCAAAAAAAAAAACGTTCTTATTTATAATGTTGTTAGATTCAGAATAAAAGTAATTAGAAAGTAAAGTTTTTAAGAAATTTGTGTTTTTGGTACAATTAGTAATAGACACTTAAAATAATTTTAAAAGATTTTACTGTTAGAATTCTGTTCGAAGTTTTGTTTAAATTTTGACTTACAAAATCTGAGAACTATTGAAGTAGAAATTAGGTATATAAACTTAAGTATTATATGGTTCCACTAAGTTTTAATTATCTTCCATAGCTTAAGCATTCGTTTCTATAAGAATGACTTCTAAATCCCTCTCCAGCTTGAACTGCCTAGACTCTAGATCTATATACACTACAAAGAAAGATAAAAAAAAAAATCAGTCTGGTAAAAGCAAACCAACATGCCAATGAATGCTACATCCATGGTCCCACACTTCTCCAAAGAAAAGAACTGTCTTCTAATACTTGGATTTCTTATTGGCTCTTAAAATTTAATAATAGTCAATTCACTTCCTTTCAACAAATTATTAAAAGTTCTATAGGATGAACTCTACCCCAAACCTACTTCACTTTATTATTGTTTTTATAAATGGTACCATCCTTCAAATGGTAACTCATGTTCGAAACCTTGTATTAACATTTGCTGTTATCTGTCTTAATACCTGAACCAGAAGAAATTGAGAGTACTCTGTGTGTGTGTGTGTGTGTGTGTGTGTGTGTGTGTGTGTGTGCATCTCAGTACCTCAGGGTAGATTTTTTTTTTAAACCTGTATTATAGTTCTCATTGTAATGTGAAGTTTCCACTAGTGTTTGAACCACAGACAACCATAATGATTGCTTCTGTTCCTATGTAACTTTAAGGTTTTTAAAGTGCCTTTATGTGATTATTGCATTTTTCAGTCATCCATCAAGTATTATTAAGTTTCTACTCCTAGAATTGTGGTAGGTTTTGGGAAAGGGAGTAAACACTTTGTAATCTAGTATAGGACAGACAGTAATATGAATTAGAATATGTTTTAAGTGCATAGGAAGAATAATGAGTATTTGACTCAAATGACATTGTTGGGAGGGAGGGCGCTGTCATAAATACATTTCTGGTGATTTTATGTAGTATGGCAGTAGACAGAGATTGGGGTATGGGCAGTATGTGAAAATTGTATTCTAAAAGTAGGAGATAGTACATGGGGGCTGGAAATTACAGGATGTGTTTTCGAGGAGGAATCCAGTATGGGCTAGATTGTAGTGTAGGCAAGGGAAGGTAATAAAAGATGAAGCTGAAAAGGCAGGATGGAGCCCTTCTTTTGGGCCTTGAAGAATACTGAAGAGTTTGGACTTATATTTTAGAAGCCATCAAAGATTTTAATAGGAGGATAGTGACATCATCAGACTTGTTAATAGGATTATGTTCTATGGTTTGTAGGATGAATTGTAGTATAGTAGCAATAACTCATGTCAGCCTTAGTATGTTAATTTATTATTCCATAACTGACTGATTTTCAGAGGTTAAGCAAATTATCCTGTCATACCACCAGTAAATGGTAGAATAGTATAGGTGTACTGAGTCTTTAGTTCATTATTCTTCTGCATTACAGGAAGGATGCTGACTAATGCCTAGCTTAATAAATGTGTGAGCTATATTTTGAAGATTTCTGTGCTAGTAAGTAAATTAGTTTCTGTGCCTTTCCTGAGAGAATAGTTTTCTGTGAGGGTAACAAAAAGAATGATTTAACAGAACAATAGCCATTATTGGGCTATTAAATCTACCTCATGATTTTGAATAACGCGCAGGTGGTTAGTGAAGAGGAAAATTGTTGAGTTAACTATTGAAGAAATTTTTTTAGCTTTTTTCACTGGAGAAAAACATTTGTATGGTGTAATGAATAGAGTAAAAGAGTTGGAGACAGGAAGACATAGGTTTGAATTCGGCCTCAGACACTAGCTGTATGAGCCTGTGCAAGGTACTTCACCTTGCTGGCCTCAGTTTCCTTGTATGTAAAATTAAGGGATTGGATTTAGTAACCTAAGACCCCTTCCACTTATAAATCTATGATTCTGTGAATATATGGTACTACTTTGACTGCAGCTCCAAGGTTAATGGAATCATTTTGAATCTGGTTGCTGTAAGGAAATGATATATTTTTTATTTTAGGTTTTAGGTTTTATTGTTGCCTTTTGTGTTACACCATGGTCATTTTCCCTTCCCCCCCCTTGCATTGAACCCTTCCTTGTAACAAGGAGAAATATTTGGCAAAGCCAGCTGACTGAGATTTTCTGTACCATATTTCAAATCATAGTCTCTCTTTCCCTCTCTACTGAGAGGAAGAAGTTGCCTTATTAAGCTCTCTCCAGGACTGATATTATTAGAATAATTCACCAAAATTTCTACAGCTACGAGGAAATATATCGAGGGGAAAAAAGGGCATCTGTTCAAACTTCTGAGGGTTTCTTTAGAAAGAAAATTTAACCATGATTATCATTCTTCAAAATTCCTTCCTAATTTTAAGAAGGCAAATATTGTTAATTATATGTTGTATGTTTATTTATGGATAACATTTGTTTTAGGTCAAGTTTACCATATAATTGCTGTGCATTATTTAATGTTTTGTATATGAGGGTAGATCTGGACCTGAAATTTCACTAGGAGAACTCCTGGGTTAGGAAACTCCCTGTACTAAAGCAGATCGGCACCTTCACCAGTATGTGTTATATGTGTTGAGGTAAAACTTGAACCCAAGTCTTCCAGACACAGATGAGGAAACTGAGGCAGCCCATAATTGACAGGAGGAGAGGAAATAACCGAGAAGTTACTTTTTTTGCGGAGAGGGGTGGATAGAAATTTCTATTTTTTAAAGGAGCAAGGTAATGAATACCACCTGATGATTTAACTCGAGGATCATCTCTCTTAGAGTTCTTTTTTGACCTGTGTTCTGTCTGCTTAAGGGCACTTTTGCCAATAATGGTACTTAGATCCAGAATTCAGTTCCCTGTATTATTAATATGTGTTCTGTAGAACTTGTTATAAGTATATCTTCTTTATTACTTTTAAATACTATAAGAGTTTACAGTAGTATTCTTGGGATTAAAAAACAATCTTGGTCATATCTGTGTTTGAATGATGATGAATGCTTGTTTTCAAGAATGTAACTCCCACTTACAATATTTTACCTTTGGGAAAATAGGACCTATTTTATGATAGTTTCCCTCTATGGAGAAACGTAGAGACTTAAATAGACCTTAAAGGCCATTGATCCAAGCCCCTCATTTTACAAAAGAAACTGAGGCGCAGAGCAATGAAGTGATTTGTCCAGGGTTATGCAGCTAGTTTTCTGTGGTATTTCAACCTAGGTCTTCTGGCTGAATGATTTGGTAGGATGAAGTTTGGTTCATGATTGCAAAGTACGTATTCCTGATGTCTGTTTTACTGTACTCATGTATGTTGGGTACAGAAGTAGTCATCATGTGCTGCTCTACCATATAGTTTTCCCTTCCTTGGCTCTATCATAGGACTAGAGAGAGTGGGGATGGGGGTGGGGTTTGGGGAGGGAAGGGAACATTTATAAGTACCTGTTGTGTGCCATACGCTGCTGAACACTTCACAGATACTATCTCATTTGATCCTCACAACAACCTTGGGAGAGGTAGGTGCTTTTCTTTTCTTTCTTTCTTTTTTTTTTTAGGCAGTTGGGGTTAAGTGACTTGCCCAGGGACACACAGCTAGTAAGTGTCAAGTGCTTAGTCTGAGGTCGGATTTGAACTCGGGTCCTCCTGACTTCAGAGCCGGTGCTCTATCCACTGTGCCACCTAGCTACCCCTAGGTGCTTTTATTATACCCATTTTACGTTTGAAGAAACTGAGACTGACAAGGTTAAGTGACTTGCCCGAGGTTCACACAGTAAAAGTCAGAGACCAAATCTGAACTTGGGTCTTACTGACTGCAGTCCCAGTGTTTTGTCCACTGTGCTATCTAGCTGCAGAGCAGCATTTTGTTTTTGCAATCTTTGGGTCCTTTGTAGCGTCTGTATTGAGAATTTTCTCTTTTTATTAGCTGAAATAAAATGCTTCTTTGGAAGCAGTTCTTGGAATCCTAAAACAGACTCCAAGTCTTCAGTAATATCCATGGCTTTATCAAAAAGTATAGCATCTCTGATCAATCTTTCACTTTTGACATTGAAATAATAGTTCAGGTCTTGCTACTGGTTTGTTGTACATTTTAATAACTACGTAATGGGATTCAGGGGGGGTTTATCTTTCAATTTTTTTTCCCAGCAAAATACAATTGAATATAAGGCACCAGCGAAATCTCCTAATGAATAGAATTCTTATATATGAGATCGTTTGTTTCCTGCCAGCTTTGTTGTATGATAACATGGCAATTTTCATTAGATGACACTATAGTTAGAGATGAAATATTATTACCTTGAAGGAGTCTATATTATGGATATTGTAATTGTACTTTGTTCTGTTCTTTAAAGATGAGGAATAACTGAATGCTAAATTTCTTGCAAACACTTTTTCAAAGACTTCCACCTTTATTTTCCCGCCATAAGTTGCATTCGTTCTGGCCACTTCTTTATTAGTGTGTTTCAGTAATAAATAATCTAAGAATTTTGTAGGTACTACACTGTCTGGCTATTATTGGCTTTTATATTCTCAGAATTTTATTGAAAGGTCGTCTTTCATTGTATTTTTTTCTCTCCAGTTCAGAGCAGTATTCAGAGATTTCAAGAGAAGTTTTTTATTTTTGCATTGACACCTCAACAAGTAAGAGAAATATGCATTTCCAGGTAAGAGGAGGGTTTGAAATATGTTTCAGTGGGTGTGGGGCTCTTTTCTCTTTAGAGATAGCATACTAAAATTCCCTTATTGTTAGCCAGATGACTAGTTTATATATGTTTGTAAATAAATTTGGAGGTGTTGGTACACAGAAGAATTTCTTTTTTATGCCCAAGACCCAATAAATAAAACGCTGTGATTTTGTGTTATTATTATTATTATGATGATGATGCCAGTGATTTCAGTGACCTGGTTAATAGAAATATAATAAAGAGAAAATTTGAGAGATTAACAGAAATTGCCCAAAGAGTAAGTAGGAAACAAACTTGAAAGTAACTGATCATTACAAAAATAGTAGGTGCTTAAAGTAGAAACAGCTTTTTAAATAGTAAGTAAAATTAAATGGATATAAAAAGTGAGCAAGGGAAATCTGGAGAATATACTGTTAGGTTGTTTTTTTAAATTATCAATGTCACTGATGTTGCGTTATAACATTCATAGAGATTCACATAGATTGTAGCCTTTTTAAAGACTTAGAATGAGAAAAGTAAGTTACTCAAAGGTTAAATGACTTTCCTGTGATTACAAATACAGAAGTAGTTTCATAGCACAGATATAAAAAAATTTGTTTCTTTGCTAGATATTAAAATGAATTTTCTAATATTAAAACTTTTTTAAAAAATATTTATAACTAGAAGGAAAAAACAAAAGTTTTTAAAGAGTTTAGTATAGAGTATCTATAATAATATACATATAATTATAATATAAATATATATATTATATATAACTATGTATTATATATATTGTATCTAAGTATTTTTTCCCCCTCTACTCCAGATGTTTTCAGCATCCACATTACTTCTAAATATTGTCCAAATTCCACAAAGAATTTAATTTTCTACCTGTTGAAGATAGGGGGCTCAATAAAAGCTAATGAAATGGTGCCTATGGCTAGCTTGTCTCTTGATGGATTGCATCTGGTAGTGTTATGATAGCATTTGACTCTTTACTAGCTATAAGACATTAAAATTAATTTTCATTATTGAAAAACCTTTCAATTTCATAGAATAAGGAAAATGATACATTGGGTGTTAACAGAATTTTACATTATAGGATCATTGATCTAGAACTCGAAGGGACTCAGTTCCCTGTCTAACCTATTCATTTTACAGATAAGGACACTGAGGCCTAGGGAGGTTAAATGATTTAGCATTTTGAGTTTTCCATCACAGTTAATATAATCCTGGTATCAGTCTGGTAGTTCATATTGAAGTATCCCCCTTCCATCTGTGTGTCTCCTCCACTCTTCTTCCCATTAGAAAACTCTGTAGTAGGTTTTAAATTTTAACAAAATAAATAAAAAAGTAATGCAACATAGATAATTTGTGGAGACCTCATGTATATTTTTACATAAAAAGTTAACTAAGAATATAAACTCTCATATGACAGATGTCAAATAAGGACTGTCAATATTAAGTGGGCTGGGTTTTCAGTGGAGGTGGAGATCGCTATGACTTGTGACGGATTGGAAAGCTTTCACAGAGGGTATTATTTTACTTGGGCTTTAAAGCAAAATACTATTTAAGCAGAAATAAAGCTGCTAAGCATCCTCAGAAGGTGAAACTGAGTGTAGGTTTTGAGCATGTGTTTTTCAAGGATTGTAGACCATTCATGTAAAGGGGAACAATGGGAGAAATTAAGACCAGAGTGTGAAGAGCTCTGAATGCCTGACGTAATAGGATCAAACCTCCTTGAGGGCCGTGACTGTTTTGTCTTTGTCTTTGTATTTGTATTCCTATTCTCATTGCTGATTTAATGCCAAGCTCTTAATAGATGCTTGATTAAAGCTTGTTAATTTGAAATTTGGATTTTGTTCCGTGTCATTGAAGATTTCTGAGTAGTGTTTTGGAATAATTGTTCTAGCTGTTTCTCCCCTAAAGTCCTATTTCATTGATCCATCTTGATATGGATCAGTGCCATACCAGTTCAGTGCAAGCTGAACAACACAGCAATGGGACTGGGTGTTTGTTATCTGAGGACCTGCTTAATTTGGTAAGGCTCATCCCCAGAAGGTTGTTCACAATCAATAAATATTTTGGCTGCAGCTACTTGTGAAGATTGCTTGCTAAAGCATTTAAGTTTGGTGACAGGACCTCCTACCACAGTAAAGTTACTGGTGTATAGGAGTAATCTGGCCATCATGATTAATAAAAGGAAGGAGAAGCCAGAGGCAGGGAATTGTGTAGAGACTGTTAAATTAATCTGGGTGATAGCTTATTCTTCAAAATAAATGACAAAAAAGCTTAACCCTTAAAAAATCCTTACTTCACATTCCCCAAGTGACTTTCCATTTTGTTTACACCAGCCCAACAAAATCTTCATCATTCAAAGGTTTATAATATTTGGGTACTTTAACTTTTCTTTTCTTTTCTTTTTCTTTTCTTTCTTTTTTTTTTTTTTTTTGCATTCTTGCAAGCCATTTCATTTCTGCTTAGCACATCCCAGAGCTAGGACAAGAGGATGAACCTAAAATCAGTTCACTTGGCTACCCTGATAGCAGCTTTGGTCAGGGAAAGAGATTCAGGCTAATGGCTAAAAAGAAGTATTTGTATTATCTACAAATTTTATTTCTATCCATTTATCAATAGGGCCTCTCCTTGGAGAATTGACATTACTATTTGCCTCAAAAAAAAAAAAGATACACGTTTGACATCTTACCTTTATATTTTTTTACCATAGGGAAATTTTAAAAGGGTAGAAGTAAGATGGTTATTCTAAAGGACACATTTTTGAGGCAACTCCCCTGAATTTCTAAGTTTAATTTTTTTGGATTTGCTGGGTTGCCTTCCACAGGTATTTATTTAGCATGACTTGCTTGTGACAATCAGTGCCAAGTATAGTTTACCACTAAAATTAGTGTTAGACTAGATAATCTGTAAAAATCCTTTTAGCTCTAACATTCTGTGATTATGTGAAAGGAAACAGACTAGTAGTAGGTACCCTACTTGCAGTATTATTGTAAAGATTTGGGAAGTCAATATTTACTTTACCTAGAGTATGGCTGGTGGGAATTTTCCAAGGGATTCATTGGACATATCTATTTAATGGTGCAAAAGGATAGGACAGATTAATTTGCAGATCAACTTGATAGTTTTAGGTACTTTGCATATGCAAAATAAGGTGCCTCCCTCCCCACTCTGAAGCTAAGATAAAACATTTCTTATTCATGGCCTTAGAAAATTCAAAAACAAACCTATGTTTATTGTAAAGTATGACAAAATCAGGGTATAATTTCGAAAAGCACTATCCAAGCATCGAAAGAAGTAAGATTTCTTTTTCTTTTTTTTCAATTAGCCCTTGGGCCCTGGGCTTTTCCAAAAGTCTTGCTTCCTAAGTTTAGCAGGATTTCTTTTTCCTCTCCTCTTTAATTCAATGCACAGTTGTTTTAGGTTCACAATTACATTTTACTTTAATGTGAGGGAATTTGGGGGTGTAGACTCTACAGCTGAGAGAATATCATAAGTGATTCTTCTCTTCACGTTCCCCAGTTTTGTTCAGGTCAAGAACCTAACACTTCCTTCCTAGGCTTTTCGTGTCATGATTCTCATTTAGTCTTCAATTCCTTCCCCTACAGTCTGATCCTTGGGTTTAGGGTGCTTCTGGCTAATCTACCCAGCTTTTACCTTTAAGTCCCAGAACTGGCTGTAGTCTTGAGCTTCCCTTTCATCTTGGAACAGTAAGGTTCTTAATTTTAGGATTGTGCCTTCAGTATAACCCTACTTGACTTTTGGTCTAGTTTAATGTTCCCCAAGACTCTTATCAAAGTCAACTTTTGTATCTTTGATCTCTGCCTGAGCAGTCTTGGTGTCTTTATGGGTTGTGTTACAGGGTCTCTAGAGGTCTTGTTACTTAGGACCAGCTATATATCCTCTCATCTTCGGTCTGTTCCCCTTATATGCTCATATGCCTTTATTTTTCTAACAGGCACTCTTTAGCTCTTCTCAACTCTTCCCCTCATCATTGTAGAACCACCTGACCAAGATAAGGGTCTGTCTTCTTCCGGTCTGATTCATTTTTTCACACTTCTCATTCAGGAATTTATAGTCATTTGGATCTTAAAGGTAATCTTCTTCCCCAGGGAAACTTCTAAGACTTCAATTTGTGACCACTGAAAATATGTAAGACTTACATGTATATTTTTAACACAGAATCCTTGAGACCCTGGTGTACGAAGTGTCATAATCTCTTCTTATTCAGTAGAAAATTTTTGCTACATAAGGGCAAATGGTGAGATTTTCCATAGCCTATATTTTATTTTTGGTAAGTTTTTTAAGTGTATTTTCAAATTAAGCAACTATTTATTTATTACTATCAGTATAGCCAAATATGAGGGGCTTTTATACTTCTAATTATTAATCCAGTGTTGCAGGATAAGCAGAACAATTCACATGCAATCCTATTTAAATCTTTCTTTGATTATAGTTGAATACTTACCTCTGTCTAAGCAAGAAGTCTTTCCCTCTTTTTTTTTTTTAATTGTTAAATCGTGGATCCCTTTGGCAGTCTGGTGAAGCTTATGATCCTTTCTCAGAATATTATTTTTAAATGTATAACAAAATCGTCATCTTAACAGAGGAAACCAATTATATTGAAATTGTTGTGAGTTGGTTTTTGTTGTTGTTGTTTCTAAAGTAATTCATGGACCCCAGTTTAAGAACTCACTGGTCTAAGATATCATCAGCTTCTTAGGACTGTTGTGGCAAGAAGCAAATAAATGACTTCACTTTGTAAATTAAAGTAGTTTGAGAGACTTTCTTGAAGTCTCAGCTAAAATCTCACTTTTGCAAGAAACTGTCCTCCGCCTTCTTTAGTGCCTTCCTTCTGAAATTATTTCCAGTTTTATCTTGTGTATAGTTTGTCTTTACATAGTTCTTTGCATAGTGTCTCCTTCCCACATTACATTGTAAGCTCCTTGAAAACTGGAACTTTGTGCCTTTTTTTGTATCCCCAGGGCTTAGCATGGTATATGGCAGGCATTAACCATTTAATAAATGCTTCTGGATTTGACTTATATGAATAGAAATAGAAATAAAATTCCCTGAGTATTAACTAATAGAAAGTTCTCCAAGTATTAAAAAAATTTTTTTTTTTTTTTACAAAAATATATATATTTTTTTGGCTAGGCAGTGGGTTAAGTGACTTGCCCAAGGTCACATAGCTAGTCAGTGTCAAGTGTCTGAGGCTGGATTTGAACTCAGGTCTTCCAGACTTCAGGGCCAGTGCTCTGCCCACTGTGCCACCTAGCTGCCCTGACAAAAAATATTTTATAAAACTCTTGGTTTTATTATTGTTAAGGATATATTGTTAAGGATCTTGTTATTTCATTACTACTACTTCCTTGATTATGTATGTGCCATGTATAGCGAGTTGATGACAGCTGGGCTTTTTGCCCTGGTTCATTTTCAGTATTTTATTTAACACCTAGTCTGTGCTCAGGAGCATACTGCTAGATAAAATTGAAATATATGACTTGTCTTGCCCTTAGAATTCCCATTATTGTTGGGAGAACAAGAATTAATACACTACACAGATAAAAACTAGAGATTAACAGATCATGCAAATATAGATGATACTTTTTCCTAAAATCAGATTTTTCTAAATCTCAGTACTTAAAATTATTATTTTGGGATACTTGTGTGCCTTTTTCCTTTCAAATAGGTTTCTTTGTCTGTCCCTAGAGAGGTGATCTATATTTCAGTCAGTGTGGCATTTTATTTTTACAGTATTTAGAAATAAATAATATTATCTTATGCTATCCTACATCATTTATATGTGAATTTTTTTCCCCAGAGTCTTTTATGAGCACATTCTTATCTATGGATGGATATCCATATGTGACATTTACTTCCAGACATAATAAAGGTCGTAAGGTCTTGTATGTATGACTTACACTTTACTGTATAAAGAACTTCACTGTATAAAATAACTTCACTGTATAAAGTATAAAGAACAGACGATGGTATGAGTGGTTAGGAAAGGAGGATAATCAGTGTTGGCTCTAGATGAGTATTGAAGAATAGGAAATATTTGGATAATCATATCATCATGCATTATTGTCAGGAGAAATAGTTTGTGTAAAAGTATGAAGGTAGGAACAATTATGAGTTATTTGGGGAGTATTAAGAAGACTCACTTAAATGGATTGGAATACTTAAGATTTCTGAGCAGAAGATTACTTAACATTTTTTCCATGTTGGTAAAGAGGATCCAGTAGAGTTGACGGTAGCTGTGGTAATGGCCCAGGAATTCATTATTATTCATGATTATCTAGGGCTGCATCAGGCTTCCATCTAGAAACTACATTACTTGGCCACTTAGTTTTAATATAAGATGAAGCAACTGGGCCATCATCCTTAGGACATTTGCTTTTGACTTGGATTTTCCAAGAATGGTGATCGATTTGTTTTGATTAATCCACATTGTCATGTACAGTTGTCTGTGAACCAACAACACACTTTTTTGGTGTTAACAATGCATTCTGTGGCAATAGAGCAAATGGGTATTTCGGAAATGCTAAATAAGAGATTTTTATGAAACCAAGGGGTTTCCTTGAATATTGATCACTATTAAATGTCCTTGAGTGTCCACTGCTGTAATTAAAATGTCTTTCAAATTTCCAAGTAAATGAAGCTGTTTTGATTATAGTGGATTGGTTATAGATTATTTGGCTAATGAGGCTGTGAGAGAGAATGAAAATGTCATTGGAGGAATATGCTGTTTGTTAAAAGTTTTTAATATAAGAAATATTCTGTGGGAAAAACCAACTGTACTTCCTTAACCAAGGTTCTTTCTTTCCAACAGGGATTTTTTGCCAGGTGGTAGAAGAGATTACACTGTCCAAGTACAACTAAGGTGATTTTGATATTGTTAAATCAATATTTTTACACTGGCTAAAATATCATTTTGCAGGCCTGTTTTAAGTGTTTGATTACACTTTTAAAGAATGATTTCTCTTTTAATACAGATTGTGCCTAGCAGAGACTAGCTGTCCTCAAGAGGATAATTATCCCAATAGTCTGTGCATAAAAGTAAATGGGAAGCTGTTTCCGTTGCCAGTAAGTTGGAGTATTCAGATTCCTGTTTTGTTTCTTTGTTTCTTAGATTTATGTAATCTGTGTTAAAAAAAAAATACATGTGATTAGATGGAAAAGATGACAACATGGGCAAAAATTATGAAATAGGTTTAAGCAGCATTTCACTGTGATCAAATTTTGATCAGGGTGACCATGAATGAAGTTAATATTCATAGGATCATATGGAATGAAAAAAGCTTTTTAGTATACAGATTTTTCTTTCCAAAGTTTTAATTGCAAACGTAACTCCAATCATTTATTCTTTCTGATTTGTGAAATGTCTTCTTGAATTTAATTCATGTGAACCTCATTGGTAGAAATTAACAGATCATGCAAATATAGATGATACTTTTTCCTAAAATCAGATTTTTCTAAATCTCAGTACTTAAAATTATCATTTTGGGATACTTGTGTGCCTTTTTCTTTTCAAATAGATTTCTTTGTCTGTCCCTAGAGAGGTGATCTATATTTCAGTCAGTGTGGCATTTTATTTTTACGGTATTTAGAAATAAATAATATTATCTTATGCTATCCTACATCATTTATATGTGAATTTTTTTCCCCAGAGTCTTTTATGAGCACATTTTTATCTATGGATGGATATCCATATGTGACATTTACTTCCAGACATAATAAATCTGTTTCTGTGTTTGTTAAGTGTTTTTTGCTACCTATAAAATAAATAAAATGATATTGACAAGTTAGTATTCTTTACCCAAATCAAATACTTATTCATTCATTCAAGAAACATTCATCAAGTCTGTCTGCTGTGATACAGTATATATTATGTGAAGCATTGGGAAAGATAAAGTAAATGAAAAAATGATTGTTCTCTTCAAGGAATTTGTAATCTAAAAGGTTAGGTAGTTAAATAGAGTACAAACTGGAATGTGATAAATGCTTAAAGGGAATACAAAATATTCTGAGATCAGATCTAAGGCAGGTAGGGGAGTTTTCAAGGAAGGCCTGATACGTGAGTTGAGCTTCGAAGTATTTGTTTTAACTTTTTTACTCTAATCTAGGCTCTCATTTCTTTGTCCATTACTTTTCCATTATCATCAATGAACGTTCTTCTTCCTAGTTATTAGTGGCTTTGATAACTCTTACCTTAAGTCTATGGAAACTGGTAAATTTCTTCCTTAGGAGGCCTCTTAGGCATTAAGTAGGTCATGGGGTGGGGAACTTGTGGCCTTGCGGCCACATGTGTCCCTCTAGGTCCTCAAGTGTGGCCCTTTGCCTGAATCCCAACTTCACACAACAAATCCCCTTAATTAAAGGATCTGTTCTGTAAAACTTGGACTCAGTCAAAGGGTCGCACCCAAGGACCTAGAAGGCCACATGTGACCTAACCCTTGAGAGCTTCTTATGAGGGCTCCTATAAGTTGCATGCTTGGCCAGGAGCTGACTATAGGCTCATCCAACTCAGCGTTATTCATTGGTTCCATGTAAAACCACGTTAAATAAAATGATAGCATCAGAGGCAATTATTCCTTTGGGAGTGGAGTTCTTATTGTTAGATATGTGCTGGAGTGGCCCAAATTCATGACTTATTTTTTAAAGACTACAGTCTTCATAGCAGTAAACCTTCCCTCCTCTACTCACTCAATCACTGTCAGGAAGTCAAGGCAGAGAGGATGACCCATTTAATATATTTTCTTTTGTACTTGCAGCAGACTGGGATTGAGCATTGGTGGGCAATAATTAGACTGTTGTGCCAATCTCACAATCATAAAACTTGTGCACAGAGGAAGAGAAGCTAGCTTCTTTCAAACAGTTCCTCTTCCCCTGCGCTACCCCTCCTCCTCAGACATGCTGTCTTGGGTTCTTTCAGGGAACGTAGGATTCAAAAGTTATGCTCTTGATTTTTCTTTTAAGCGGGAAGCTGCCTGGACTTCTTTTTTTTTTTTTTTTAATAAGGTTGTTTCCTATTTCACAACTCAGACAAAGTTATGTTAAGGTCTTGATCTGTGAACACATTTTGAAGACGTTAGCTTGAAGTATTTGGATGAAGTGACACACCTACTAGAAGAAAGAAGGTGTTTTCAATATGATTATTAGAGGCTAAAACGTCTTGGATAGACTTAGGGGTGGAAGGGTATAATAGAAACCCAATTTTTCTTCAGAGAGTTAACCTTAATGGTGTGTGGCTAAATTTTATAGCTCCACATGAAATTTATATGATAAAAACACATCCATTGATACATTTTTACCTGTTTTTCATTTCATATCCAGTACTTTAAAGGAAAATTTGGTTCTTTTTCTTTATATGCATGTAATGAATAGCTGCTGTGTTGGTTTTTTTTCACCTTTCAATATCCTCTTTATTTCCTGTCATATCTACCTGCCACATCCTCGACATTAAACCAGTTAATTACCTTTGTGACAAGAACCATGGAAGAACAGAAGTGTATGTTGGAAAAGGGGGAATCTCTAATTTCTCTTCTTTCCTCCATTTATATTTCACTTTGAAAAAGGAATTTATAAATTTTAGCTATTCATTTTTGTTAGCTAATGAGGACCTTCTTGAAGCATACTTTAATAGTTAAGAAAGGATACTTTTTTTCCCCAGAGAATTCAATTTATTTTTCTCATTATTGCAGGGATATGCACCACCTCCCAAAAATGGAATTGAACAGAAACGCCAGGGGCGCCCCTTAAATATTACATCTCTAGTTAGGTTATCTTCTGCTGTGCCAAACCAGATTTCCATTTCATGGGCATCTGAAATTGGAAAGGTAAAATTTTTCTTTGTTTTATCCAGACCTGTGAGTTTATTGGTGTAGGGTAGCAGTTCTCAAACTTTTTGAACTCAGGATCCTTTTTAAAAAGCAGTAATAAATCAATTACATGTTAACATAAATAACATTTTTAATGAAAACTAACGATTCCCCCCCCAATAGTGAGAAGAGTGACATTGTTTTGCATATTTTTGCAAATCTTTTTAATGTCTGGCTTACTTGAAGACAGCTTGATTCTCCTCTGCTTCTGCATTTTATCTGTTATAATATTGAAGAATATGAAGAAAATCTGATTTTACACAGATGAATAGTTGGAAAAGGGAGAAGTATTTTAATAGGTTCATAACATCTCTTAGTATTATTATGAAACTAATTTTGACCTTTAAAGACTCTGTAAAGGGGGTTTTAGGGATTCCCAGGGGTCCACTGGCATAGAGGGTTTTGATTTTGGAAACTGTCTACTAATGCAGATCTGCAACTTACAGTCTTAGCGTAGAGTACTGGGAGGTTAGATGATTTGCCCAGGGTCGCATAGCCAATAAGTGTCTTTAATGAGACTTGAACCAGCTCTTCCTGACTTGGCATTTTCTGACTGAGACTGACTGACTATCCACTAAATATCCCATGTTGCTATCTTTGAGGGTCAGTATGATAGTTATTGAACAGTTAACTAGGTGGTTTCAATTATTTTATTTTCCTGTACTCAGAGGTAATACTTCTTGAGTGTCTGACTCTGCTTGCTAAGAAGAAATTATATTCATTTTTGATGTTCCTTAAGTAAAATGAGCTACAATTATAGCTTGTGCTTTAAATAAAAAACATAACTGTCTATAGTAAATTGTAAGCTTTTGCAGGAACTTGTTATATTTTTATGAAAAGTATCAAAGTTTTAAAAAGATAAATTGGCCCTTAGTGGGGAAAACATTGCACATGTGTTAAATCACAACTAAAAGGTAATTAGAAATAATTGTTTTTATCACTTCTTCAGACTACTAGGTATCTTGACACATTTAAAACATGACATTAGAGGATATCATTTAGGAGCACGTTTACCCAGAGTGTCATTTCTTTAAGTAGATGATACTGGCCAGAGGTACTGATTCTTTGCTATCCCAGCCAGCATTACAATCTTAACCTCATTTCCTTGAAACTGATGTTTAGGATTTAGGAGTTTCTTTTTTTTTTTTTTGTGAGGCAGTTGGGTTTAAGTGACTTGCCCAGAGTCATACAGGTAGTAAGTGTTATGTGTCTGTGGCCGGATTTGAACTCAGCTCCTCTTAACTCCAGGACCTGTGCTCTATCCACTGTGCCACCTAGCTGCCCCTTAGGATTTACATTTTAGAATTAACTTGAATAATACTGTGCTCTCTGAACTTATAGTGAGACAAGGAGAGTGGGGTTCCCATTTTACAGATGGAGAAATTGTGGTACCTTTGTTGAAGAATTTTTTTCCCAGGGATATGACAGTATCAGAGATGGCAGTAAAAAAATATACTCTTAGTATTTAATCACTATACTATTAGAATATCATTATGTATTTTCTTAAACTGTACATTCCCTTTCTCCCTTCACTTCCATTTGTAAATTTCTGCTCTTGCTCATTACCAGGATTAATGATAAATAAAACTGTGTCTTCAAGACCAATTGTGAAATTAATCCTTTAAAAGAACCAGTGTTATCAAATGGTCAGTTTATTTTTAAAATTTTAATTATTGTGAACTTTTAACATTCATCAGTCAACAAACATTTCAAGATACAAAGAACAGAACATGTAAAAATATTATGTAAGTATTATGTAAAAAATTTATGTAAAATTTTATGTAAAATATTATGTTAAAAAACTGAGCTTTTAAGTATAGTCAGATTTTTCTTTATTCAGAACTTCACCATCAAATAAATGAATATTTCTGTGTAGTCCTGAATCTGTATGATAAGCAACTTACTTTTCTCTTTAAGCATATAATAAAACCAGCATAATATTCATGATCAGTTACTTAATACTTAAGAATTTATGCAAAAACAAAAAACCTAACTGTATAGAACATAATTTTTGGAAAGGCTCACAGTTCTGTAATAGAAATAGGAAAGTATTGCTTGGTCTTTATTATTTAACCTTTGTGACAACTTGTTAATTGTCTTTGTTTCCAAAATTTGACCTTTTGTTTGTGATATCAGTGGATTTTCTTTATGTAATAATATATGTATATATATGTGTGTGTAGATATATGTAATACACACATTATGTAGGATATCCCCAAAGTCTAAAACTTTTGGGATACCCTGTATATATGAAAGTTGATTTTTAAAAGAAAAAGGAAGTCTGCTGTTTATCATTTATGTGTATTTACTTGTTATCTTTTTACCCTTATGAGTGAGAATTCTCTATGCAGACCTCAGGCTAACCAAATTCTACAAAGTTATTTTTTGGTGCATAGTTATATTCCCCACTGCTTCTTCCTGTTTTAACCTGTGCTTGGTCTACCACCTCTTCCTCAAAGGGAGGAATTGTTTATCCCTTCATTCCTCATGAGGAAGCCAAGATCAAGTTAGTTAAATGATATGCCCGTGGCCGTGTCGCAGATAGTCTGTGATCAGAATTAGAACTTGGAATTCCCGACTTACTTAATACCATATACCAGATGTGTCAAACATGTGACCCAGAGATAAATGCAGCCGACAGGACTCCTGAGTGCCTCCTGAACCAGATCAAAATGTAATTGGGAAATATTTAGCAGAATAAATAAAAAGACAATAAAACACCAATAATACTGCATTTTAAAACTAAATCATTATGCAGCTCACAAGGATCATTATATATGGATTAGTGGTCCCAGTTTAGAACATGTTGCCTTTAATGGGTATGTTGGCAATTGAATATGAAATATCTGTGATTGAGATCTCAGTTCCTCTGAAAGAGTTGTTTTTTATTTTCTTTTTTTCTTCTTTTTTTTTTGGCCTGAGTTGTCATGGTTTCATGGAAGACTAACTTTGAACATGTAATTATGAGAATTTTCTTTCTCATCTTTAACTAAGATTATCTTTTTTGTAGAATTACTCCATGTCTGTGTATCTTGTGAGACAGCTGACATCAGCCATGTTGTTACAGAGATTAAAAATGAAAGGTATTCGAAACCCTGATCATTCCAGAGCACTAAGTAAGTAATGTATATGAAACTGAATGTATGAAACATTTGCGGGGGAAATTTTTTTGCTGAGTCAGTGTGATGGGGTGGGTAGAACAAGGTTTGAATTTAGAGTAAGAAGAACTGGATTGGAATCCTGGCTCTCCTACACACTGCTGTATGTATGACCCCTAATAAGTCTTGGAGCCTTTTTTGGGACTTGATTTCCTCTTCCCTAAAATGAGGAGATTTGACTTGATGGTCTCTCATCAGTTCCTTTATAGCTCTCAATCCTGTGAAGTATGGCCTAGGTGAGGCTAGCGTTGTGGGAATCCCTCTTCCATAGTAACTTAAGTGGTATAAAATTTGTGTTAATGCTGGCTCACTAATATCAGTTCTGATCTGAAAGAAAATTAGGGATCAGCCTTTGGCCTGTGTTGATGAAGGCCTGTTGTAATTAGGATTTTGACTCTGTAGATTATTGATCTTTTTAGAATTAACAGTCCTGAAAATAGCAATTTATTTCATATGACTCTCCAACGAATAGCTGACAGGCTGTTTTGTCTAAGCAAGAACATGATTTCCCTATTAACGGCATATTGACCAGTAAATAAAAATATTTTGCTTCTTATTATGTAGGAATTCTTAATTTAGCTCTTATGATAGATACTATGAGGCAGGAATAATTTCATCTCCCATTAGTCAGTATTGCAAATGACTATAGTGCACAAAAATGTATTTGTTTTTCAAGTAGCCATTTTAATAGTGCCAATTATTTACCTTACATATTACTCTTTGGAGGTTGTTGGAGATTACTCTCAGCCAATGTTTACAAATGAAAATTATTGCAGAGATTAGATTTGTTTTTCTTTTCTAATGAAGGAGGATTTTTCACCTACTCTTGATTAGAATTGTGGATTGGACCAGTGTAGGGAGAAGGCTCTGTGAGGTGAAAACAGAATCCTCTACCCTACAGTAGAGTTCTGTGAGGTCAACCAGACAGGATGCCATTCTCTGGTCTTTGCCACATTGCAATGTTGACTTTCTTACCCACATCTGAATATGCTTGGTTCTCTAAAGATCAGAACAATTTATTCTCACTTTGTTTCTTTTCTGCCCAGCTGCCTGGGATCCAGCTGTTTTTGGCAGTGATAGACTAAGTGGAGAATCACTAGGGCTTCAAAGAATTGTGAACCTAAGTTGAGTAAAAGGGAACAGTTTTTGTATTTGGCATCCTTAGATATTTTGGGGAGAATTATGTCATTTAATGAGAATGGTTTCCTTTACCTAACTATATACTGACTTAATAGAAAGGTAACTTTTTATTAAGCTTTTTAAAAAAATTTAAAAATCATTTTATTTTCATATCTGTATTCTCTCCTTCCTTCCCACCTCAGGTGCCCCCTCTTTTGAGAAAATTAGTAAGCTTTTCATTCTGGTATGCCCCCTCTTTTGAGAAATATAGTAAGTTTTGCATTCTGGTGTGGAATTTAACTCAACTTAAAGAAATAGTAAAGGCAGTTTCAAGCATATTTCTGTAAGAAAAGGATCATTTCCAAAATCTTCTCATTTCTGTTGTGTGTCTCGCAGCCTGTGAACTGTGCGTCATCTTGAAAGTCTTGTTTTTGAGGGACTTGAATTTTAACTTATTAAAAAACAAGATGTTTAATAAGCTAAAACTGGAGTTGTGACTGACATTAAAAACAACATCACACATCAAGCATTTCTTTTAGCTCTCTTTTTACCTTTTAGCCACATTTGGAAGCTTCTGTTTATAGGTTGAGGCAGTCTGTGCCTGAATAACATTGATTTCTGTTTGTGTTTTTCAAGTTAAAGAGAAGCTCACTGCAGATCCTGACAGTGAAATTGCTACGACCAGTCTTCGGGTATCGCTGATGTGTCCTGTAAGTGAAGCCACAAAATGTTCCGAAAGCCTTTACTTTGTGGAGAGATTGCAGGCATATATTGCACCATGTGGTTACAACCGCTAACTTTCTTAACATGTAGCTGTTCACTACAGTAACATCTGGATTGGGCTGCTCTGGCTCCTCGTTTTGACCAACTTCACCACGTAAACATTCCTAAACATCTCACTGTGCTTGGTTCAGTTCTGTTCCTGTCAAACTAACTCCTCCATGTAACGTTGTGCTCTGACACCATTTTAAAAAATTTTTATTTTTCAATTAACAAACATTTATTTTCTCTCTCACCCCCGCAGTTGGTGGGGGGGAGCACTTGCTATCCTATATATATGCAAAATCTGCAAAATATATACATAAAATCAAGCAAAACAAATTTCCACATTGTCCCTGTCCAAAAACGTACATCTCATTCTGCATCTTAAATCCAACACTGAGAGTTGGTCATTACAGTGATCAGAGTTCTTAAGTGTTTCAGAATCTAGCACCATTTTTAATGGGATTCCCAGTTTAACAATGTTAAACATGATGTGTTTACATTGATAACATTTTTATTTGTCATAGATTATAAGGCGTCTAATATAAAATAAGAGTAGTCTGAAACTTTTGACAAGTTATTAGTTAAGAAATCTTGTCTTTTGACAGAAATCTAATATTTATCTACTATCAGAGGGGAGTAATACATGGATTAACTATTATTTAGGAGTGTGCAGCAGATTTGTCTTGTTAATTATTATTTACTGGGGTTAATAGCCAAATGAATTATTTGAGGATAACCAAACTGATAGTAGGAGGTAGTGACCTAAAAGAATACTGTAGAGGATGGAAGGGGAAACAGGTTGAAATCAGCCTTGAGTTTTAAAAAAATGGTCTGTAAATATTTTTTAATATAAATGTTTATGGCTGGCTTTCATTTTTATATCACCAAATTTCTCTATGCATCCTTCTTCCTTACTTTGTTCTCTGAAGGCTATCCCTTACAACAAAGAATTTTTAAAAGGGGGGGAAAGATTTCAGCAAAATTAATTAACAAATGTAAAAAGTCTGACAAATGTAAAAAGTCTTGTTTCATAGTCCGTAGTCCTCCATTTCTGCAACCAAAAATAAAAAAAAAAGTTGGAGTAGGTAACATCTGTTTAGGACCAGACTTTGTCATTAAAATTTTATGGTGTTCAGTTTTGTGGCACATTTATTAATGTTGCAATAATAGATGACTTTATATAGTGCTTTTAGGTTTGCAAAATGCTTTATGTGGCTTATCTCGCCAAGAGCAATTGGCGTATGAATAGCAAATCACTGTAAGAAACTACATAACAGTACTGAGAAATACCAATATTGAGGTCTTTAGTTCCTAATAGTAAATAATGATGATTCAGTTCACTTTTCAAATCATACCATGTGCATTGCACAGGTTACAGTTGCAGTCCTCAAAGAGCAATTTAAGACAACCTAGGATGGGAGATAAGACCATATATGTATTATAGCTTGACATTTTTTCTTTGCTAACAATTCTGTGTGGTAGATAGTATCAATAATGGCTCTATTTTACAGATGAGAAAAATTCGGAAAGGTTATGAGTAACTTGCTCAGCCCACATAGCTAATAGGGGTGAAAGCAGGGTTTTGAATCCATGTTTCTTCTGACTCCAAATATCATGCTTCTTTTAGACAAAACATTACTATACCAATCATGAAACATCAACAGATCAACTTGCATGGTGCAATAGAGAGAATACTGATCTTGGAATCACGAAAGATGAATGGCAGATCAAACGTGTCTTCATCTGTCATTGTATTTGGCTCTTTTTCACTTTTTCTGTTCTCATTTGTAGTAAGAATGTTAGTGTGGATCTTCTAATAGCCTGTCAATTTATTGATCTTTGGACAGAGATCCTGTAATGATAGTTAATATAGTGTTTGTGAATGGTCTGACCACTGAGCCACTGTTACTTAGGAAACAAAAGTCTTGATAATGCCTGAAGACCATTTTGCATTTTTTCCTACTTATGGCTTACTAGGGGCAAAGATTTAATCACTTAGTAGTCAGCATTATATAAGGTTATGAACTTCTTTGCCCTATCACTTAGAATAGAAGTTCTTAGAAACCTGAGGTCCCTGAACTTGTTCTTAAGAAATCTTGATTATATTGATATTTCAGTATATTTGGATTCCTTTGGAATTGAATGCATTTAAAAATAATATTCTGAGAAGGGAGCCATAGGCTTCCCCACATTGTCAAAGTGTTCTAATAATAAAGGTCAAGAATCCTTGATTAGAGCCTTCCAAGGTTAGAGGATCTGTGTTAGCTTGTTCCTGTGATAACTGCCTTTGAGAATCCAGGATTATTTTTATCCCATAGTGAGGCATCTTTAGTAATTTAGGCAATTTAGAGATTTGTGTTTACAGAACACTAGAGAAAAAAAAATAAAGCTATTTCAGTGCATTAAATAAGGATAGTAAAGAAGCCAGTAACTTTTTTTTAAAGCTCTGAGCAACTCATACAGTGCTGAATGTGACACCCCTGGTTTCCATGGGTGCCACTGGAAAACCTAAAGTGGGGGGGGGGGAGAGAAGGAAGATGAGATGGAAAAAAGAAGTTGTGGAAGAAAGAGAGGAAGTAAGAAAAACAAAGGGGGAAACATAAAGCAGTCCTGAATGGTTCATGGAGATATAGGGTGCCTTCTTTAGCTGCCCTTCATTAGGTGCTTACCACTGCATTAAGTAGCATGCTAGTAGTCTGTGTAATTTTTACAGTTTTTTGGGTTTCATATAATCCCAAGTATATTCTACCAAATGAGTAGATAATTCTCTTGATTTGCTTATTGTAGTTAAAATTGTATTGTTTATTAGGATGGTAAACTTATCAAAATCCTGTTGTATATTGCTTTGCTGAAGCATAAATTTTACTTAACATAATTGGATTTCTCTAAACTATATTCCTTTTTTTAAAACAAAAATTATTGTTTCTGAAATGCAGTTTCCATTTTGCATTACCCTTTAGTTAGGAAAAATGAGGCTGACGATTCCATGTCGTGCAGTGACATGCACTCATCTGCAATGTTTTGATGCTGCTCTTTACCTGCAAATGAATGAAAAGAAGCCTACCTGGATTTGTCCTGTGTGTGACAAAAAAGCTGCCTATGAAAGTCTAATACTGGATGGGTAAGTTTAGCCCTGTCCTTTACTTTATCGAAACTTTTCCCTTTCATACAACCGACTGACCATGGCAGAAAAAACCTAGCAAAAAAGAGCCTTCTGTCATGTATATAATCCAGCTAATTTAAGAATTTATTATATTATATTAAAATTAAAATATATTTAAAAAACTTTTTTCTTAGATTTTTTTTTGACTTGAAATGAGCTTAATATATTTCTTTTAATGTTTTGTGATGAGCAAGGTTTACAGTTTCCTGTCTCTATGCTTAGGAAAGTTATATATTTCCCAATATATGGTGAAAGGAAAAACAATACTTATTGCCCTTCCTCTTTCCTTGTTCAGAGAAACCCAGGAGGTTAATGAAGGCATAGAACCCATGTAAGACTGCATTTTACCAGCTCTCTTAAATAAAGAAGTTCTCAAATGGCAGTTGAGGTATTGAGAACGACTGTTAAATTTAAGAAAAAAATATGAGAAATGTCATACTAGTCAGGACCTAGAACCTATTCAACCCAATATGCTCTCTCAAGCTTAGTGTCAAGTTGTATGGGAAGGCACAGGTACCATCTCTAACACTGTTTTTGGAGGAATAGATATGTATCCAAAAACATCTTAGTTTCCCTTAGCAACTGATAAGAAATTTGTTATACATTCATTTATCTAAGCCTAATTTTAAATCTATTTATATTTCAGCCGGTTATATTTTTTTGGGATAGTGACTTAAATAAATTTATTGTGCTAAATAGTACTTGACTTATACTTTTTTTTTAAAAAACCTACCCTTTTCAGGCTACAGGGGATGCAGCGTATTATTCTGGGGTTTTGTTAACTGTCTGTGTTCATCCTGTCTATACACTTTTGATTGTATGAACTTCAATCATATCACATTTTGTTCTCCGAGGATAAATTAAACTGTACTGTAGCAGTGGGAGTCAGAGTGTGGATCACGATGTTCTCTAACTATATTTCTCTCATTTTAGGGTCTTTTCATTATCTCTCTATATAGAGAGATATTAGATATTGCTCCTGATATCCTGATTTATCTTACTGACAAATAAGCAAGGAATATGAAAGTAGAAAACAGTGTAGAATTGAACTACTTAATTATAGTCTCAAGATTGAGAAGGAAGGAAAGTAAATCCAGATGGAGGTTGGTGTTCTGAATACTGAGGGATGGAGGCGATGAAGGTAACAGTACTGATGAAGAAGGGATTTAGGAAAAGTGAAGTATAGGAGAGATGGAATGATGGTATTTATAGTTGGAAGAGGAAATTTCAGGATTCTGTGTATGTAAGTGGAACACTTGTGATTGATGATGAAAATCATCAGTGATGATGATGAAAAAATTGTGATTAAGCCTATGTGAATGTGAGGTTGGATGACATAAGCCATTGAAGTTGAGGAAGATTGAAGAACTGGGAGAACATGGTGATCAAATATACATCAACATTTATGTTGAAGTTGGCCAGTGATAGGCAGAGGGGTTGGGATGGAGAGAAACTCTGAACCAGGTACTGAACTGATTGTAATCTGGCTTCTAGTCACATCATTCAACTGAAAGTACTCTGTAAAATTATCAGTGATCTCTTTAAGAAAAAAGTATTGATATCTTTTGTTTTCACATTACTTAAATTTTCCTGTATAGGGTTCCACCCTATATCTCCATGAACCATATTTTCCTTAAATAGTGTCCTCTATTCCTGTCCTTCCAGAGAGCCATTCCATGTAACAAAAAATATTTTTTAAGAAAAAAAGGGAAAAAGAGAAGCAAAATCAGCAAAACCCAACCAGTAACCTCACAAAAGCCTGAATATATGTGTGGGGGGATGTATGTAAAATCTTGAATACCAGACCTTTATCTGAGAAATTTGATAACATTTTTTCCCCGACTATTTTCTTATTTTAATTTTGTTTGTGCAGAAGCTTTTAATTTTCATGTATTTAAAATTATTTTTTCTTTCTGAATTGCCTTTATTCCTTTTTTGTCTAAAAATGTCTACCCAGAGCTGTAAAACGCATATGATCTGCTTTTCTTGATTTTATTTTATTTTTTTTTATGGTTGATTTTTAATTTTCAGGTCACATATCCATTTCAAGTTTATTGTGGAATACGGCGTAAGATGTTGGTCTGAGCCTAATATCTGCCACACTGCTTTCCAGTTTTCCTAGTAGTTCTTATCAGATTGAGAGTTCTTTCTTAAATAATTAATGTTTTCAGGTTTATCAAACACTAGGTTGTTGAATTCCACTATTTCTGATTCTCCTTGTCTAGTTTATTCCATTGATCTACTTCTCTATTTTTTAACAAATACCAAAAGCTTTTGGTGACTGCAATTTTATCATACAGTTTGAAGTCTGAAAGTGTTTCTCCTCATTCCTGTTGTTTTTCATTATTTCCACAAATCTTTTCTTTTTCCAAATGAATTTTTTTTTAAACTTTTGTCTGCCGTCTTGGGAATGAGGCAGACATATTCATGGAGGCAGTACCCATTTTGCCTTGTTTTATTAGACTCAGAGAAAACAACCCCACTTTATCTTTTTCTTACTACCAAACTCCTTCATATGTAATGGATAAGTATTTGGCAGTAGACTGCCATTTGTATAAGCACAGGAAACTTTTCTTAGTAATTGATATACTAGAAAGGAAAAAAAAACCAGCTTGATATGGGATATGCTTTGAGCAATCCTAACATTCCTAAGGGTTTCTTCTTTGCCTAGGGAACAGTTTCTTTTGACATAAGGAAAAATGTTACATTCAAATACCACAGCAGAAGGGAGGCCATTTGAAGTGGCTGCCCCCTGCTCTTTTTTTGTCATTAGCATCCTCAGGACTTCTTTCCCCTCTTACTGTGGTTAATAGTAGAGAAAACCAAGATTCCCCTTTGTTACCACCAAGTATATAGATGGGGAATGCTCTTCATGATTGTTCCTTCATTGTCATTGGATCCAGGGACCTTCTTTGGGAATGGCTTTGAAGGTGTCCTTACCATAGAACGTATTACATTTGTGTTACACTAAACAGGAGATAAAAACAATGCCTCCATCCCTCATGACTATTTCACACATAGGCACCAGGTCTCTCACCACTTGGGTTAAGTATGAGACCAGAGCTAAGTGTACTTTTCATATGTATTGTACCTTTGGATGTGCCATCTTGGAATGGGGTAGAGTAACTGATACTGACTGTGAGTTCAGTCAGATCCTTTGGCAGATTATCACCCATCCAGGCACCTAACCTGACCTTTCTATTGGCTAAAACCCTTCCCTCCTTGCTTCTCTTGTTTGAAAAGAGAACAGCCTTTGGCATCATACATCCTGAAGGTTGGGTTCCTTAGTTTGGGTGTATTTTCCCTAGCTTGTTTTGCTTTTTCATTTTAAAATACTTGTTTTCCCCCTTTGAGGGATAAAAAAATCATTTTGTGTGTGTGTGTGTGTGTTCAGAAACTTAATAGTTCTTCATTACCTCATCTGTGTCGATTATTCTCCTCCCCTAGGACTGGTGTCTCGGGTTTAGACTCCCTGTCTTTCCGTAGCCTTTTTCTTTTTTTTTCATTCTTGATCTCCGTGGGGGGAGGGGACCTCTCTTCCCCATCCCTTTCTGGGAAGCTGTTACTACTGTTCCTTGATATGCTTCATAGCAAGAAGTTTGTTCTTCAGGTGCTTCTTTAGGAAGGAGCAAGTTTGCACATAGCCAGCACACCACGTGCTTGTTTAATGCTGAAGACAGAAGAATAGGGGTTTTTTGTTTGTTTGTTTGTTTGTTTTGGCAAAATCTGTGCATCTGTAGAAAAAGTTCACTTACCTTCTCTGTTGCAGTTGAAATCTTTGTTGTTTTTGGTTGCTGGCTAAATGCTCTGTTCCTTAAAAAGAAAAGAAAGTCTCAATAGCCAAACTCAGGATTTTTATATTATAGTCCATCAAATTTCTTTACTGTTGCTCTTCCTTCACTCACCTGTTCTCAGTTATAATTAACAATTAACAGGTGTCTCCCCATTCTATAAATGTCTGAAATATAAGCGGAAACCTTAACTAGGGGATGTTATCAGAAAACTTTGATTAAAAAAACCAAACAAACTCAATTGTCCTCTTCTTAATATATCCCTCTGGTTCTAATAACTGGTCTTTTTTTTTTTTTTTTCCATATTCCAGACTCAGGAGACTCAAGGGTGAAAAATCAGTAATTAGCTGATTCCTTTCCCCTCAAACACACAGAGATCGTTGATAGGCACTGGTAGCAGACAGAACAATTGTAAATATACCTTCTAAATCATCCTTTCTTTTGGTGACTTCTTCATAAACAGGCAGGCCACAAGCATTTGTTAAGTGCTTTTGTGTCAAGTGCTGCCCTGAGTGCTAGGAATACAAATAAAAGCAAAAAAGGACAGCCCCTGGCTTCAAGGAGCTTGTACTCTGAAGTAGAAACACATTAGTGGCAATGAGCAGGGAGTGTAAAGACGGTTCTGTAATAAAGATCCTGGCTTAACTGAAGTCATGAATCCTTTTGCATCTTCTGTAGTTTCCTTCATGAATTAATTTTCTTCGTATTTTGCACAAGCCAGTGCTTTGAATTTTCAATGTAATTAAGCTAATTTTATTTCAGTGCTCAATAATAAAATCCTAAACATGAACAGACTCCTAATTTATTCTGTCTAAACCATGTAAGACAAATGAAGTTTAATTTTTTCTTACGGATCTCAAAAGCTGCTGAAGATTTTATGCCTCTTCCTCCCACCTTCACCCTTACTCCCCGTAGTGCTTAGTGAATACTAACTTTTATATTTCTTAAGGGTTTTTTGTTTTATTTTAAATCTTGGTCCACTTTTAAGTTTTTTCACATACTTCTCAAGAGGGACTAAATTTAGATTCATCATTTTAAGAGTCTAATGACAAGTAAAACAGTTGCTAACATTGTAATATTCCCGTTTATATAGCAAGGTCATCTGTTAACATTTTTAGTAATGATATTGTATCGGTGACATAATTCAATACATAGTCCACTGTAGTCCTTTCTTACTATATTCCTCCTAGACAGTCATTCATTGTATTTTGTATTTTATATTTGTATTTAGGCCTTCTTTTTTTACCTATTTATTCATCAGACATTTCTAAATGCCTGCTGTAAGCTAACCACTGTGTTTGGTGTTGGGGAGAGACAAAGAAAATTGACTTGGTCCGTGTCCTTATGGAGCCGATTTATGTCCAACCGAGGTACTTGGCTCTATTGGATACTTTGCATTGGGGGTAAATAACTAGGGGTACAGTTTCACAGGTGACTTTGCAAATTTATAGAATATGAAGCAGTTTGAAATGTTTTAACCATAAACTATACCAGGAAAAAATATGTGCAAGGAAAGTGTATAAAAGTTTGAGTAAATCCGTAATGACTGTTATTAGATAGATGCTAATTTTAGAATTCTATAACTTAAGCCCCTTGATTTGTAACTGGAGGTAAAGGAAATGTTTATTGATATTCTTTTGCTGTGTCTCATAGTTTAGGTCATTCAAAGCTCTAAGGGACCTTAGTCTTCATCTAGTCTTATCTCTTCATTTTATAGATAAAGAACAAGGAAACATGTACTGAAACAAGGTAGTAAGTGAGTCAGAGCCAGGAGTCAGACTCATCTTATGACTTCAAATCCAGTGTCCTTTCCATCTTATCACTCTACCAGTCTATTGTTGCATTCTTTTGCATTTTAGAGGGAAATATAGCTATCATATGGTCTTATAAAATTGAGGATGCTATGGTAATTTTTTTATTAGATAATCTACACTTTTCATTCTTTGCCATGAAATCATTTTAATAAACTATCTTAAGGACCAAGATTTCAATAATCCTACATGGTAAACACCATTCTTTTGAGAGATAAGACATAATAAAGATTTTTTTTTACATTAGCTTTCCTAAAATAAATTGTCTTGACTTTTTTGTGACTTTTATTGGTAATGTTATTTGTTAAAATGGGGTTTGATATTTATCTCACTTTCATATTGATTGAGCACTTTTGTCCTTGTTGCAATACTGTGCTAACCTAGTTCATATTTTATAACCCTACATCCAAGATGGTTTGAGAAAAAAGAGGTGCTTTGAGAAGCCATGTTAGTAAATGAAGGTTAGAAAAGTAACTGTTGTGCTCATTTTGGTAGCATATACGTTAAAATTGGAACGATACAGAGATTAGCGTGGCCCCTTAAGCAAGGATGACATAAAAATTCATGAAGTGTTCTATATTTAAAAAAGAAAAATAATTATTATGTTTTTCCAATATTTGTTTGTTGATTTGAGGCAGGTGATATTTCAGGGCATACTGTTGTAAGCCTTGAGATAACACAGTATTGTTTTCTCACTTTTTCCATTTAAGAAAACAAGAAGAAAGTACTTTGGAAATAAAGGCCTTGGAAAACGATACTCATTATTATCATAGTTATAGTCAACAACATAATTTTTATTGTTTTCTTTATTATCTCACTTGTGAACAAAAGTTTGAATTATACTTAATTTAACTTTTTTTTTTTTTTTTTTTTTTTTTTTTTGGCTTAAAGGCTCTTCATGGAAATTCTCAATGAGTGTTCTGATGTGGATGAGATTAAATTCCAAGAAGATGGTTCTTGGTGCCCTATGAGACCGAAGAAAGAAGCACTTAAAGTTTCAAGTCCACAGTGTACAAAAATAGAAAGTATGTACAGAGTACCTAATTAAAAAAATCAAGAACTTGCCCTACAATTTTACCTTTAGCTGCCAGATCTCAGTTTGGGTGTCCATTTGGGTTATAGCCATTCATAAATCAAAATTATTTTTATTTAAGTGTGTATTCTACACTATAATACATTTATTGCATTTGCTGCACATTTAAAACACAGACACATAGGATCGTGGGTTTAGAGGTGGCATGGATTTTATTTTATTTATTTATTTAAAAATTTTTTTAATTAATTTATTTGTTTTTAGTTGTCAGCATTCACTTCCATAAGCTTTTGAGTTTTCAATTTTCTCCCCCTCTTCCCCTCCTCCCTCCCCACAACAGTGTGGGATCTGATATACGCTCTACATATATATTCATATTAAACATATTTTCACATTGGTCATGTTGTAAAGAAGTATTAGGACCAATGGGAGGAACCACGAAAAAGAAGAAACAGAACAAAACAACAAAAGAAAAAAAGACATCAAATAGTATGCTTCAATCTGCATTCAAACTCCATAGTTCTTTCTCTGGATGTGGGACAGCATTTTTCTTCATGAATCTTTTGGAGTTGTCTTAGATCCTTGCATTGCTGAGAAGAGTTAAGTCCATCAGAGTTAGTTATCTCTCAGTGTGGCTATTACTGTGTACAGTGTTCTTCTAGTTCTGCTCACTTCACTCAGTATCAGTTCATAAAAGTCTTTCCAAGGTTTTTCTGAAGTCCTCCTGCTCATCATTTCTTATAGCATAATAGTATTCCATTATATTCATGTACCATAACTTGTTCATCCATTCCCCAATTGATGGGCAATCAATTCTTGGTGTGGCATGAATTTTAAGGGCCACCGAATCCAATCACCTCATAATCATCTTAATTCCTTTTGCTTGTTATAGAGCAGTCCGCAGGCCGCTTATGGTGCTGCTTGTGGCTTACAAAAGGGTTTTGGGCAGCCCAGGAAAAATGTAGAGGATGTAAAACAAGTCTACCCAATATATAGTTCGCAGGCCTTATGTTGTGCAGGCCTGTTATAAAGTGAAAAAAGTTGTTACAAATGTCTTTATTTTACCCTAGACTTTGAAGGGAAGTATCCAACTCGACTTGAAGGTTAGCTCTTAGGAACAGTGTCTGTTCTGAATGAATTTTTTAAAAATGCCTAAGTAGTTAAGGGATTTTTGTGATTTATTTTGCTAATGGTATTGCCAAAGAATTTACTGTCTGTTTTTAAGTAGCCCCTATTGTGACTAAATTTAGTTATGAATCTTGATGTCCTAAGTTGTGCTGTATTTCTGCTATTAGAGGTAATGAAGAAAGAATAGTTTAGATTAATTGAAATCCACTAATATTCTCAGAATTTCAATTTCACTAAAGTAGCAAATTAATTCTCTTCCTTCCCATTTTTCTGACCAAATTTTGTTGGAGGTAATAATTAGTAGGGTTCATTACCTTGCTTGTAAGGAATCATATTGAGCAAAATAGAAGGGAAAAAATAAGGGAATTATACTACTATAATTAATCCTTGTTAATGGACACCAGCCGTAAACAGTCAAATTACTATGTTTTATCATAGCTTTTAAAAATTTATAAAATAATTGTGCTTGTTGACAACCCCCGATTTTTATATTTGAGACAAAAATAGCTTTTTATATATATATATGTGTGTGTGTGTGTGTATATATGTATGTGTGTATATGTGTATATATGTATATGTGTGTGTATATATTATATATATATACATATTATATATATTATATTTATATATGAAGCTATGTTGTTAATAGTTTTTCTCAGTAAGTGTTCATAGGATTTTGCTCATCTATCCATTCTTGTTTATTTAGTACTTGAGGACAAATGTTCATTTACCAGCAGATAAATATGGTTCGCATGATAATTAAATGTAAGATTAAGGAGTAGTTGGAATTGTTCTCATACTGAGCTAAGCAATCCTGTCTTTTGGGACTAGGACCTTTTTTTCCTATTAAAACCCTTATTTCTTTTTCTCTTTTCTGTCTAGGTTCAAGTGTCCTCAGTAAACCCTGTTCCGTGACCATGGCCAATGAGACAAGCAAGAAGAAAGTAGATGTTATTGACCTAACAGTAGAGAGCTCTTCTGATGATGATGAAGAACCTCCTGCCAAAAGGAAATGCATATTTATGGCGGAGACACAAAACAGCCCAACCAAAGGGTTTGTTCATTTAAAGTTTATTACTTTTCCTTAACTCTTCCAATTGAGCTTGACACTTGTAAGCACCCTATGGACTGCAGTTCGTAATTGGATGTTTGGTGTCTTTTGTTTCCTGAAGGATATTTTAATGTGCCTTTGTCTAGGTGCAGTGTGTTCAAAGCAGTTTTGCTGTACATGCTGCGAAGTTATTCTTGAGGAAGAAGATGTTGTGACCCACTAAGAAAACCTCATGTCAAGGGAAGTGGGATTGGGGGGGAGGCTTTTGTATGCCAGAGTGTGTGATAAGTTGCATCTTTAGCTAATTTGACAGGTCAAAAAGTAATTTTTCTTTTTAAAACAGCCACTTTCTCCCAGGGAAAAATAAGGAAAGTTATTTGATCAAGAGAACTATGTGTTTCTTTCTACCATTTCCGATCATAACTCCTCAATACTTTAGTAAAAGGTCTCCATCAGTTGCCATGCCCAAAAATTATATTACTTAATGGATAACCCATCTGTTGATGATGTTTTATAGACTTGGTTAGTTTGGTCCTTGAATGACAGTCTGCTTCTGGTTCTGTACTCAAAAACTTTTCTAGCTTGCTTCTTACGAGCTTATACTGAGATCTTTTGAGAACTCAGGAATACCCTCCATTCTACCACAAATCATCAAAATAAAAAGTGAAAGGTAGAGAAGAATATAAATAACATCAATTTCCTTTACTGCTTGGCTGATAAAAAATCATTACTCACTCACTGCAAAGTAAGAGTTTTCTAAATGACAACATCCATCAAGAGATTCTCTTTGGAGATTCTGAATTTGGTATACCAAAGGAAGTCCCAGAATTCTTTCCACCAGCTTAGAAAACAGACTTTAAAAACTTAGTCTGTGTTGGTGTCTTGGTATTTTAGTTTCTTGGGATCATTTCTGCATTTTACTTTTTAATCAGTTGTGGAAACCAGAATATTTTGAACTGCCTTCCATACTACTGAAATACTTGGCAATTTGATTGTCAGAATCTTTATACCACATAAGTAGGACAAGCATTTGATTTTACATAGTTGTTTAGCATAAGACTTGATAAGTCACAAAGGACTTTTTAAAGATCCTGAGTGAATTTTGCCTTTTTGAGAAAGACAATTGGCACTTCATGAATTTTTTAACAAAAATTGAAAGGCAGTGTAGTAGTCAAATATGTTTTTGATGGTTCTTGCCTTAATCTTTGTTATTTTGTTTTCATTGTATTGTTTTATATAAAAGTAGTAGATTAATGATGTAGTTTGGGGGGATAAGTGTAAAATTGGAAAGAGAGGACTTAAGAAATTATTTTCTTAATTTGAGCTGAAAAATACAAAAGCACATTGTCCCTTGCTTAGAATACAGACTGGTGGAATCTCTGATAATAGATAGAATTACCAAATACTTAAGCTTGTCATATGGAGAAAAAGACAACTTGTTCTGTATCAGGAAAAAATAATGTCTGACTTGCCTATTAGACTTCTATAAGGGAGTATGTAATCATGAGTAAGAAAGAACCATTGAATGCAATATTTTAGACCTTTCAAAAGTCTTTTGACAGGTTTTCTTGTGAAAGGCGATAAAAAAAAGTTGACTATCAGTCATGGATTTGTAGTGACTATTGTGTCACTGGCTTTAAGGCAGAATAAAATATAAAGGATCAATTATACTTCTTGGTAGAGAACAGTAAGTGAGGAATTAGAGTTGGTCAGGAAGAGGAAAAATGCCATGAAATCTCCCGAATTTGTTTTTACTTGTTTTATCATTTTACTATCTTCTGGAGAAAATGGCATATACATTTTAATATGAGCAAATATAAACTGCATTTAAAATAATGCAGTTAAAGAAAAATATTTGAAACTACACATACCAAATGAAGAGCTGTAGGTATTGATTATGATTCAGGAAAGGGGCTTGAATTTCTTTGTAGACTTCTCTTTTTTTTTTGACAGTCTCAACCTGATGTGCTGCTGTGGCCAAAAAGGCCAGTAAAGTGCCAGGTGTTGTCAGAATTCCTGGAAGCTTGTTCTAGAAGCTATGGTGTCGTGCACCTATTTCTAGGGTAATGATCATAATAGCTCACATTTATTTGATGTTTGCAAAGCGCTTTGTCCGTAACCTCGCTGTGCAGTAGGTCTCTGTCACATCTGGTCACTGGTTTTCAGGGAAGACACTGAGCTACAAGAGGACCAGAGAAGGGCAAGCAAAGTGGACAAAAGAGAGGTAGGGACTGCCATAGAGGAGCAGACTAGAAAAGATTAGGCCTCCTCAGCCTTGAGCATTGCAATCTTCAGTAAGTACTCAGGTGAATGAATTCACTCAGGTGAATAAAAAATTATCAAGATTCATTGGATAGGTGAATGCAGATTTGTCAAACCCTGCTAAATTAGAAATGGTGAGTCTCCCCATAACAATTCAGAGAGGTAAATTTGGGACAAATAAGATACTGCTTTTTATACATCAGATAGTAGATGCACAGGATTCATTTTCTTGAGACGGTAGCTAGTAAGGTTGAAAATATTAGTAACTAAGGCTTACAAAGGATGGATAAATGCATTATGCCTATTAAGGGCATTGAGATGCTTTTGTTTTAACCTTTACGGTTGACAAAGAATCTCACAGTTGTCCTCTGATGGCCTCTAGTTTAATTCTTTCCTTCTCTGTCCCCTTTAGGTTTCACTGATGGCTTTGTTGACCACATCAAAGTTTACTCAGTGAGCTTATAGTCCATTTCAAACCCCTAAGTCTTTTTACACAAACTGTCTTATAGTCACATTTCCCTCATCCTAATTTTTGTTAGTTCATTATTTTTTTGAACCCAGAATCATAGAATTAGATTAAGAAGGAACCTTAGAAGTCATCTCGTCCAACATCTTAATTTTATGGATATGGAAACATTTACACTTATTGAATATCTTACTAGATTTGACTCATTGCTCTAGACTGTCAATTTTTTGTTTTTGTTTCCAGTTGTGTTGTCCATCATACTTCTTCATCCTTGCATTGAGTCATCTGAAGTTTGATAAGGCTTTCATCCAGGTTATGAATAAAAATGACGAACCTGCCCACAACCAAAGGCAGAGTCTTAAGATATTCTTCTAGAGGCCTCTTTCTGGGTTCAGTTCAGTTTTTAAGTACCTAGTATGTACAGAGTACTATGTTAGGCTCTGGAGAACAGAGACCAAAAAAAAATGGTCCCTGTCTTTAAAGAGCTTACATTCTACAGGGTTCATATCAATCTAGTATAAAGCCCATTTCTCTCCATCTTTTCTGTAAAGATTATGAGAGACTTTTAATATACCCTGTTGAAATCCAGATAATGCACTGAGTACATCATTCCTCTGATGTCTACAACATTTCCAAATGTAGTAATCCTGTCCAAAAAAAAAGATATAGAATTACTTATTCCTGATAAACCCATTCTGATCTATCATGACCCTTTTCTAAATGCTTATATAGTTTTCATAATGTGTCAGAGAAATATACTAGAATCAAGCCACTTGATAAGCTTACCTTTGTCCTCATCTTGAAAGTTAAAATGGTACATCTACCTCCTTGAAAAAATTAATCAAACCTTCTCACAGATTTCTTGGTGTTCTCTCAGAGGCAAAGTACTGAGGTGGGCTCAGCCCTGGACCTGAACTCCCTCTGTGACTATTGTTTCAGTAACTTAATTCTGGTATTTGGCAAAAAAAGAGCTTTTTGTCTTTTTCCTGTGTGGAAAGAGTATTGTGGTACAACTCAACAACAGTAAGAACATCTTTTCAGACTGTGAGTAGGAAAAAATTGGCATGTGACATTTGTTGTGAATCAGCGATGCTGTGCTGTCTTTTGAGGCATATGAGGCCCCTTTTCTAGCAGTAGCAGGGACTATAGATAGGAAGAATTCTTGTTTTAAAATGGAGCGTGTTAAGAAAAACAAATATCTATTTGACTTGAGCTAAATGAATAGCTGACTTGAGGAGTAAATGAATATAGGCTCTTATATAAAGATATTTTAGGTAGAACTGATTATCAAAAACAATTCCTGTGTATAAATAAAATTCAATAATACAACCCCTATAGGAGGTGTGTCCTAGTGACACAAAAGCTTCCAGAAGTTTCTGTGAGGCAGAGGTCTCAAGCTCAAATAGAACCAGATCTGGGGAGTTGGACACCTGCTGTAGGCATTGGGAGAGGTGATTTTTCTTTTTCTTTTTTCTTTTTTTTTTTATTTTTAGGCAATTGGGGTTAAGTGACAAGCCCAGGGTCATACAGCTAGTAAGTGTCAAGTGTTTGGTCTGAGGCGGGATTTGAACTCAGGTCCTCCCGACTTCAGGGCTGTTGCTCTATCCACAGCGCCACCTAGCTGCCCAAAGAGGTGATTTTTCTAAAGACAGACAAGACATATTACATTGAACCTCTTTTACCTCTTTTGTTGTAGATTTAGCCCTGACATTGTTTTCATAGTTTTTACTCATATTTGAATTTAGCAGGGAAGCTATAGGATTGAAAATCATTTTAAAGATAAACCAAGGCATGATTAGCAACACAGGTTGCATTGAGGAATGGATCTGCTGAAAGATAGAGCTTTCCTTTCTTAGCTGGGTAAAGACACCTGATTTGGAGAGAGCCATTCCTGAACTTCAAAATTTTGAGGAAATTACAACACATTATGTCAGAGGCCAAAGTAAGAACCCACTTAGACCAAGTGAAAACCAAGGTTTCAACTTAAGTTCTGAAGTAGGGCTGTTAAGTGTAATGGGAATGAACATAGTTGAGTTACATAGAAAGAATAAAGTGACCATGTCTGAACAGTCATTTCAGTTGGGGACAGCGTATTGAGGGAGGGGAGTGGAAAGAGCCAGACACATGGAAATTAAATGAATGAGAGAGCTGCACAGCTTAGGTGGCTCTTTTTGTTTTTGTTTTTGTTTTCTCTAAAACCCCTGAAACTAAATTCTGAATGAGACAGTACTAGCCTTGGCTTCAGTGAAGAGTTAGCTCTTCTCCCTTTATCCTCGGCTTAAGTTTTGGAGTCTCTCTTTCTCCTCCTCCCACCCCCCTTCCCCTTTCCCCCTTTTTTTCTCTTCTCTCCCTTTTTCTTCCCTTTTCTTTCCTCCCACCTCTTTATTCCTCTCTCTCCTCCTCTTATTTCGCCCTTCTCGAAGGGCCTTTATGAGAAGGACCCTAGTGGGCAATTTTATTGTTGATACTCTCCACCCTCATACTGACTACTGGATTGTAGTTTGTATTTTCCTAGTACTAGAAATCATCAACAACTTCATAAAGTAAAAGTTTTATAAACACTAAAAATTCTTCATTTTTCATAGACCCGTTCCACCTATTTTAATCTTAAGACATTGTACAAAGCAATGGAAGCATTTCATTTTGTTTCCTTGTTAGCCTGAAACAGAGCTTCCTTGTGGCTTTTCCAAGTACATCTTCCCACCTGAAATAGATTAGATTGTCAGAAACCAGTACCTTCTGGGCAATACCAGGATATCAGTTTCCACTAAGTAGTGAGAATATGTCTTATCACCTAGTGCACCGAAATATAGCCTCATCTTTTACCAAAAGTACAGCACCCTCCGGTGGAAGTATTTTGGCAGCCTTCTTGGCATTGTCAAGAGAGTCAAGTGCAGAAAGGATATAAGGAATTTCACTTATTCACAGATTTACAGAAATACAAGAATCAAAAGGAATGTTTTAAAGACCATGTAAGGTCACCCATGTAAGACTTATTTACAATATCGTTTCTGCTGATGATCTCCAATGATAGGGAAACTTCTAAGACAACTCAGCCTCTCATCTCACAGCCAACATAAGATGTTGATAGTTAGTGTTTGGTAGCAAACTGGCAACCAACTTCTGATTGCTTTGTGATAGAAACAATACAATTTTAAGTGTGAAAATTGATATCAGGTTAATCTACCATGGAACATGTAAGTCACATACTTTTATTGGCCTCATAAGTGTGTCGTATACCTTGATAACATTCTTGTAAAAATTCTGATGTAAACAAAAGTTCTTGTCTTTCTGATTGTTGGTAGTTTTGTCACCTCATTCTGGCCATAGAATATACTATACTTTAAAATATATGGAGGGGATATACCATTAGACCTGGAAAAGACATTAGAGATCATCTAGTCCCACCCTCTTACTTGACATGTTGAAACTGAGGCTCAGAGGTAAAGTGCTTTGTCCATTGGCACACAGAAAAGTAGCAGCAAAGGCTCCCTACAGCCTGGGCCTTTTGAATTGCATTCCACTACTATTTGTCTATGTGACTTTGCTGCCCCGTCACCAGTTGGAAAGGCCAGTATCAAATAATAGTCTCATATTTTCAAGTGCAAGGGTTGTAGTCAAGTAACTTGTGCACCCGGGACTGAGACAGGTATTTTCATACATATTAATGCATGCCACATTTTGGTAGTGTAGCCAGAACCCCAAACATTATTTAACTTTGACACATTTGTTGTATGTGATATATGTGTCCTCAGAGTACAGCATTAAATTTAGGTATTCTACGGGACAGATCATCCAGTTTAACTATTGCCACAATATTCAGCCATCTGTACAGTTAGAGAAGAAAGACCAATATGAGGGAGGAAGTTAGTGCTTAAATAAAAGCCAAGATGTTGAGGCTGAGGCCTTGATTGAAAAACTTGTGAGAAACTAAGGTAAAGGAACAGAAATGAAAGCAGATAAACTATCATGTACCCCTTAATACCCAGAAATTTTTGTTAAAAGCTCTACATAATGGAGGATGCCAATGTGATAGGCTATTGGGGGTGTGTGGGGGGGGGCATTTGGGGTTAAGTGACTTGCCCAGAGTCACACAGCTAGTAAAGTGTTATGTGTCTGAGGATGGATTTGAACTCAGATCCTCCTGACTCCATGGCCAGTGCTCTATCCGCTGTGCCACCTAGCTGCCCCATCTGATAGGCTATTAAGAATGGTTTTTTTTAAGAAAGTCGCAATTCTTTAAGCATTAAAATTTATCTAAATTTCTATTTGTTCCCCAAGATCAACATTTAAATGCCTCAAGGAAGAAAAAAATAAGCTTTAAATCAAAAGTGTGCTTAGCTCCACGTCCACACTTTTACCTCATTGCTTTTTCCTACCTTGTTCAATATGAGTTCATCATAGTGCATATTTCTCAGCAGATCATCAAATGGCATCCTATGAAGTCTCTTTATTCCTAACTAAATAAGTTTTTAGAAGATGTGTTTTCATATTTTAGAAGGCAGCCTTTGCTTTCATCCCTTATAAAGCTCTGTCTGTTGCCCCTAGTATTTTGCCCTTACCTCAGGTAAATTCTGCTGCATATGTTCTCCAGATGGTCTGTTTAACCCTGTAGAATTTAAATTCCTTGACTAGTTTTTTTTTTTCATCTTTGTATCCCCAGTGCCTACCACAGTGCCTTGCATGTAGTAGGTACTTAATAGAAGCTAGTTAAATGAATTAATCTAAATAACCATGTGATCTCTAAGCTGCTCTTTTCAAAGAAGGTCCTGGCATTATTTATTTCTATTGCCAACACAACAAGAGATGCTTTTCTTTTCATTTTGAAATGGACTACTACACTGGTTGTAACCATGTTGTTGAGATAACCTCTGAGAGTAGTAAAAACTTGTAAACCATTTTCTTTCCAGTTTTAAAGTAAGTTTAAAGTCCAAGTAAAAGTTCATAGTATTATCAGTGACATAAGTTAAATCAGTTTATATAGCCAGTTGTTTATAAAGTTCTTTGAACATGAAAAAGCACTCTATAAATGGTTGTTTCTTTACTTCATTATTTAATAATTTAAACAGTCATAAATCAGTGGAGTGCTATGGAAGCAACTCTAAACAAGACACTTTTGGTCTGGCTTCAGCTTTGCTGCTAACTTAGCTGTGTGACTTTGGTCAAACCATTTTGCTACTCATGACTTCAGTATCCTTTTTTAGAAAAGGAGGGGCTTGACTAGCTGATCTTTAAGATTCCTTATTCCAAGCTTCAGTAATTCTTATAGCAGTTGACCGACAACTTTTGTATTCCTTTGATGCCTTTGATGTTAATTGTCAGCAAGATGGCAGACACCAGCTTTGTGGTCGAAAAGCGGTTGTGAAGGTTTTGAATGTATTCGGGATGCATTTCTTGCTTGTGAACTTCCAGTGAAATGTCATGGCTTGAATGGGAATGCATTTAATTTAGACAACAAAAGGAAAATCGTTACCAAGAATTTAGAGGAATTAAAGAAAATCTTGTTAAACCTGAGTGTTTTGAACTGTGGCTCATACTGAAATGATAGTAAGTAATACTTTATCTGTTTGATTTGTATTTTTAGTAGCCAAAACAGTTCATTTGAAAAGTGCAAATCTTCCAGAAGATGAGGTGGCACCTGTGCGGTTGTACCAGGTTTATTGAACATTAAGGCCTCAAACATTAGCCTGACACAGACGCTGCTATGGTTGTCATGTTTAGCATTTGTTTGTCACACCATTCCCCATGTGAGTTTGGGTTTAGCAACTCATTGAGGCAAACCCAGATCTCTTTTCACTGTAGAAAACAGATCACTGTAGAAAATCAGAACTACTATTTCAGCACTTTGGTGAGAATTGAGAAAATTTTCTGGCTATGCTATTCAAAAAAGGCCATCACATCTCTATACTCTTTGGCGCTAGTCTTGAGTTAATTCAATCTGAACAACCCCTCTTGTTCTAAATTTCCTTCTACACACACATATATGTCAGTGAAAGCATATATCTAATATGTGTGTATGTAAGTATATGCATTTATATGTTTATATTATTGGATGGAAGTATTATAATGGCTCCAGCACTGTACTTTGTTTTAATGCCACCTTGCTCTTATGTCACAGCTAGTGTTGAGAAATAAGATACATTCATGTTATAATGAAGACTTATGAAAGATGAGATTAGAATGCAGTATCAATGTTGTGAGTAGCCACTATATAGTTGTGTTGGAACTGAGAATGACCAGCAGTACAGCTCTTCTCTCCTGTAAACTAACAGCCAGATTGCTTGTAATTTTTCATACTGTTTAAAACAGGGTTCTCATGTACCAGCCATCTACTGTCAGGGTGCCCAATGTGACTTCGGATGCTGCTATTCCACCTTCATTAACAGATTACTCAGTGCCATTCCACCACACTCCAATATCAAGTATTTCCTCAGATTTGCCAGGTATGTATTTTGTTAAGATTTTCCTCTCTTACTTAAAAGTGTATATTTTAAGACAAACTTACTTTTAGAACATCTGTATTATATATTATTTTAAATTTTAATCTTATCTTTCATCAGTGAATCTGTGACCTAGCTATTAACTTCATCCATTAGCTTATTAGCTGTGTGACCCTGGCCAAGTCATTTGACCTCCATCTGCTTCAGTTTCCTCTACTGTAAAATGGGTCTAAAAATATCACCTACCTTCCCGAGTTGTTGCAGGGATTAAATGAGATATTTGGAAAATGTTTAGCACAGTACTTGGCACATAGTAAGCACTTACTAAATGCTCCTTCCCAGTAATCTTTGATGAAATACATTTTTCAAGGTTTATAGATGACATCTATTAGTCATTTTAACAGGTCATATCTTGGTTCGCTTGGAGGAAGGCAGATGAAATAGTAGGAAGAAACTGTACTGAGAGTCAACTGACTGAGTTTAATCTCAAGTCTTCCACATTTGTGGACTTGTGTGACCTTATACAAGTCACTCAATCTCATCTGGAATGCAGTTAATTATATTATATTTATCTTGTCTAGCTTACAGGGTTGGTCCAAGAGTAAATGAAGTAATAGATGTAAAATGTTGTATCAGTGTCAGCTACTATCATCACTGTCTTCCCAGAGCTTTCACAACAGAAAGATCACTCCCTGATTGAGGACACGTAACACACATACACACACAACAGAGACAGAGATTTATAAGATATATATTCTTTATGATGAATCTACTGGTTAGCTGTGTAAAAGGTAGAACAAGAGTTTGTATTATCAGTAGAATGTGTCAGCATATTCTTTATTCATTATAAAGACTACCTAAGTACTGTTTTATTCCCCCCTCTGGCTTTACCCTGTTCATTCTCTTTTCTTAAAAGGGCTCTTAGAATGTACCAGCTGGTGCCACAGTCAAAATGCTTGCCATTTAAGTTTGTCTTTTTCTGTGAATGTCAGCTATAACATCTAGAAATATAACTGAGGCTGCTTAAATTGTCTGAGTAATAAGATTTCCCAGGTGAAATTCATATTTTCAAATGAATGTTGTCTTCCTCAAATTTCTCCTCACTCAAAGCACACAGGCACACTTGTCAGATAATACATTTTATCTTCAAATTTTACACAAGTTACTACTACTTACTCTGCCTTTCTTCTTCTCTTCAGGATACATTTGATGAACTATAGTCCTTGTTCTCTTTCTTTTCACTTTTTATCTATTGAAAGAACATGAAAATGATCTGGCCTAAGTTTTGTTTTGTTTTTTGGTGGTGCAGTGGATGGAGCCCTGGGCCTAGAGTCAGGAAGATCTGAGTTCAAATCCAGCCTTAGATACTAACTAGCTGGGTGGCATTAAGAAAGTCACTTAACCCTGTTTGCCTCAGTTTCCTCATTTGTAAAATGCACTGGAGAAGGAAATGACAAACCACTGTAGGACCTTTGCCAAGGAAACCCCAAATGGGGTCACTTGAAGAGGCAGGCCTGACTGAAATGATTGAAGAACAGCAACAGTAACACTGAGGTTTTTATTGTATCCCAAGTACTAACTTTCTCCTGGATTTTTATCATGGTATTTTATCAAAGGATTTGTTCCAGAGATTTGTTCAGTTTTTGTTGCTTTAGCCCAATATGATTTGGACACTTAATGAGTTCCATAGATTTTATTTAGCTCCGCTCGTTATATTCAAATCATGGTGTTGAAGGCAAAAATGTTGAATTGAGAATTAGGAGACCTAGATTTTAGTTTTGGTTCTCCTACTAACAAGTCATAGGAATTTGGGCAAATCACTTTCATTTTCTGAGGCCTTTAGTTTTTCGAGAGGATTGGATTAAATGCTCTCAGAGGTCTTTTCTAGGACTGAAAATTGATATAACTTTTTTGGAAATGCTTTGCAGCAGCTGAAATTATATGCATAACAGATAATTAGACTATAACTTTTAAAGTTCAGCAGCTTTGAATCTCATTTATCACCAGTTATATAAATACTCGTTATGTGAAAAACACTGCTCTGACCTGAAAGTGGGGAGCAAGTATTAAAGAAATAGAAGCCACAGTGTTTGATGCATAACATACATAACATAAAGATATTGAACATATATGAAATCCATATGTATGTTAAATATGTAAAGGTGAAGTGTTTTTTCTGTATACCCCATGTCAGCCCCTCACATCTCTAGGTCCTGAGTGACACTGTGCTAGGGCCTCATAAAAGCCAGTTAAATTGCTCTTGTTGGTGCTACTTTGAAAGTCAGTGGCCATGGCTGTTCTCAGCTCAGGGGCTATAGGAGGCTGTTTCACATTGCCTGTACCATTAGTAGCCTATATCCCTAGCATCCAGCTTTGCACATAATAGTTGCTTAATAAATGTTTGTAGAATGGAAATGAATGGAAGATGAACAGGACTGGTAGTTAGGGCTCTATTTTCAATTCTTGCTGTAATTTTTGAGTGTCTTTTGTCATTGCTTAATTTTCTCTAGATTCAGTGGCCCTGGGGCTTGTGTTAATTTAAATGCATTGTATAAATGACTGACCTACCTATCTGATATGCTGTACACAAAATGGGATTTAAAAATTAAGAATTTTGGGACAGCTAGGTGGCACAGTGGATAGAGCACTGGCCCGGGATTCAGGAGGACCTGAGTTCAAATCCGGCCTCAGACACATAACACTTATTAGCTGTGTGACCCTGGGCAAGTCACTTAACCCCATTGCCTAGCCAAAAAATACATAAATAAAAATTAATAATTTTTTTGAAGTGTTCTTTGAAACATTTGGGCAGGGAGATGCATATGTTACTTGTGTGGGGAACTTGTACGTGTTCTTATTATGTTTTAGAGTAGAGGTCCTTCCCCTGGTATTTGTAAAATAGTGTAGAGAATAATGTGTTAATTCTAGTATGTTAAGTATTAATCAGTTTTACTTAGTTGTTCAGTTTGTCTGTCTCTTCTCAACCTTGTGGACCATACTGTCCATGAGGTTTTCTTGGAAAAGATCTTAGAATGGTTTGCCACTTCTTTCTCCAGTGGATTAAGGCAGAGTTAAGTGGCTTGCCCAGGGTCACACAGCTAGTAAGTGCCTGAGTCTGGATTTGAACTCAGATCTTACAAACTCCCAGCCTAGCGCTCTATCCGCTGAGCCATCTCGCTGCCTTCTAGTTTCACTTAATATTAAATGGCTTAGAGAAACAAGAGGATTCTTAGAATTAATTCCTCTTTTCTAAATAGAAAAGATTACTGCTAACATATCATTTTCATTTTAGGTTTGGATTTTCTTTCCCTAATTCCAGTTGATCCACAGGTATGTTACCTCACTTTAGCAATTAATTTGCATTTCATTTGGTTATGATGCTTTAAATTAAGAGACCAAATTGGTTATTTTGACAAGCATAACATTAGAGCTCTCAGCTCACTTGTTCACACTAATTGAGGTAATTTAACCTTCAGAATCTGTTTTAACATATCCTTAGTTTAAAGATGTGTGTATATTTCCTGAGAATGAGGGAGCCAGGAATGTGAGGGAATGTAGCCTGGGGTTTGTTACATGGCCAGGCAAAGCTGACCTAGGATTAGAAATATACCACATAGTACACAGAGAACTGAGAGGCTTGAACAATAAGATTTGTTCAGTCATGTTTATAAAGCTATCATGTAAATTAAGTTATCTGTGATTACAGTAGGCAAACCTTTATACATATATACATATCACTGTTTTTTTCTATTTAAGATAACAAGTATCCTTTCTGCTAGATTGTCAAGGTCCAGGCGTAGCAATAGCCATGCATGCCAAAATCAGGTTAAAGGCCCTGGCAAAAGAGAAGGAAGAAAGAAAAGGAAGAAGATAAGAAAGGGGAAGGGGAGAGAAAAAAAATTGTAGAAGAGACCTACTGGCTCTTACTCAGTTACACAAGGACATAAAATTTGCCTCTTTTATAATTTGATACTGTGTACTTGACCACATCAGGTTTGAACAATGGGAACATCGGACCTGTGCTTAGAAGCATTTCAAGTCAAATGATATCTAAGTCATTTCCTGTAGGAAGAGTTTTCACTTTCTAGTAACTACTGTGTCAGTAAGTTCTGAGGCAAAATCATCTATGTACATTGCTAGGTTATCCTTTAGTCTTGAAGGGATTATACGTTTCATTGTGAACATCTCTTTGGATCAGACTGCTCAGCTCTGGAGAGTGAAAATTGAATTCCTGAGCTCTGTTGAGTAAACTTTGTGGCTGATGGTAGTTTGGTCAGAGGATGGTTATAATGAAGGTTCATTTTCATATAAAACAATCAACATTGTTGTTTCACCATCCTTACTGTACACTTAATCCATAGCTATTTTAAAAGTAAAATACATTCCATTGGAAGGGTAAACAGGAGGAACACGGTGATTAATATAAAATGGCTAGATCACCACAAACCCATTTTTAATAATTAGAAAATTAAATAATGTTACTTGCTAATAACATATCCAGAGCAACCATTTTGCAAATGAAGGATGACACATACGTACTAAAGCAGATTAAAAAAAAAATGGAACTTAATAGTAAAGTTAGGGCTTGAGGAGTACAAAGAAATTTTGATGTTTGACAGATTTTTTCCCCCTATGATTTGAGAAATTGGGAGTTAATTTCCTCCTCTTCTCCCCCCACGTTTTTCTGTCCTTTTAGACATTTGATAGTTGCTTTTATAGTTCTGAGAAGCTACTGAAAAACTTTACAGATTCACTTTGTATATGATCACTTTTTTGGTGAGCCCAGATATTTCTAAATAGTAAAAATGTTCCATTTTCTTAAAATAGGTACTATGCATGGCTGGCCTAACACTTGTAAAGAAGCTTACATATTTCCTTTCAGAAATCATCTCCCTATTCAGTGCACTATAGATTTTTATTTGATTAAAAACTATACCTTATATATAAAAGACACACATCATGTGATATCTAACCATTTCTTGCTCTTACTGTGTAGTATCTCAGTAGACATTTTATTTTAGAAGTCGTTTAGTCATTTCTGCATCAGTAAACATGTCACAACTGAAATCAGCTAGCCAGCTTTCAGTACAGCACACATTTAATAAATATCTACTCTCTGATAGTCATTCAGGAAGGTACAAACTTTAGCTCCAATGCTCCCTGCTTCGTGAAAAGTTAGGATAGATGGAATGAAAGGCTCAGGTGGTGGGGTTATCCACAAGGCCTCAGGAGGGGCGGATGCCTTTCTCTTTGAGGTGAGAGGGGAAGAAGTCGAGCATGGAGAATGGTCTTGGAATGTTTTAAGTAATGTAAGAGGTGACCATCCGTTCAGATAGTATTGGTTGTTACAATGAAGTATGTAAGTTCAGTCGTGTTCTAAGTGTAGGAAGTGCTTTTTGGCTGAGGGGCTTGCAGAGAGAGCAAGTGTGAGAAAGGCAGTGAGAGCAGAGGAGAGAAGGATTGCTGAGAAGGCCCTGCTGGGGTTGTGTGGCATACAACCTTAACGTTAACTAGAAGATATAGTTACAATAGTCAGTTAAATTTAGCATTTATTAAACACCTAATGTATGTAGAGCAATATTCCGTACACTGAGGAAAAGACAAAGTTTAGGTAAGACATGATTCTCCCCTTCAAGGAGTGCACAGTCTTATAATATACATAGAAACAAGTCCTGTTTGACGTCTAAGAGGGAAGGTCATTACTAAATGGGGGAATTGGGGAAAGAGTCATAGGGAAGGTTGCATTTGAGGTCAGCTTTAAAGGCTTTTTAGCTGTTCAGTAGTTGGGAAAAGGAGGATTGGTACTCTCGATTATCATCTAGGCCTGAAAGAATAGGTAGATTTTTAAGGCCACTTTACTTAATTAGCATCATTGAAGATAACTATGTATTAGTTCTCCCAGAATATGTAAGGTACTCCTTTAGGCCATGTTAATTAGCAGCTGCTCTCTATTCTTCAGGTTTAATATTATCCAGAATCGTGTGGCTAATGCTCATCGGTGTCTATTTTGTGCTTTAAGGTAAACTAGTCATTGATGATATTGGTAGGACTTTCTAATTTAATTGTAAGCAGTACTTAAAAACAAAATATTATGTAAATAATGCCACCTTATGAAACCTTGGGAAAATTTTCATCTCTGCATGTACAGGTAGAGACCAGTGAGATAATGTGAAATTCATTGTTTTGTATAAAACCACTGTAATCTCTTCCTCATCACCATCATTGTTTGTTTCAAGCAGTACTGTCCTCCTATGTTTTTGGATAGTCTGTCCTCAACCCTGTCAACAAGCAGCACAGCTGGAAACATCATCACATCCACAAGCCCCCAGGAAAGCAACACTCATGTGACTTCATCAGGCAGGAGTGAAACTGGGGTGATAACCAGCAGTGGGAACAACATTCCAGACATAATCTCCTTGGACTAAAATGGACTCATTGGACTACAGGAATAATTAGCCAGTGCTGCCCTTTCTTGCATCTCTGGTCCATGGCATTTATTTTATTGCCAGTTAGTTTGATATTTATTGAAAAGACAAATGGATTCTGTTACCTTCTGAAAATGGAAGAAAAGAGATTACGTGCAGCAAGAAGTACATTTAGCTTTGAAGGATTTTTTTTTTCTTTTTCATAAAATACTCTGAGTATCAAATATATTCAGCCACGTCACCATCTTTTAAAAAATAATTTGTTTCTTATGTTGCTGGATGGATTCTACAAACTGGTTAAAAGTAAGTTTTTGGTTGTAATACACAGCAATAAAATTATGTAAATAGTCAAACTTTTTTTTTCTAATAAAAGGCAATTAACTAATAGAAAAAAGTATGCTCACACATTCTGTGTGAGAGTCTGCTTTGCTGAATGAGTACTTTTCACAGATCTATCAAACTATGACAATAAGGAATTCTTCTGAAATGATCCTGGCTTACTTTATGTCTATGCTGTTATGACTCTTCTTTTTCTGTTGCCCGTCAAAGGGAAATGACTCATTTCCCCCCAGATTGTCATTTACACTGTAATATTGCTGATAAGAATGCAAAATGAAATTCTGGTATTTGGATGTTTTTTATTATATAGAAAGCTCACTATGCAAATTCTGCCCCAGGCATAATATGTTTAATGTTGGTGGATGTACATTCCTGGTACCTCATGCCACATATTGGGAGTTTTACTTGTTTTTTCAAAAAGGAAATACTAGCTATTGACTGAAAACAGTCCAGCCACAACTTTGTGGGATGGGGTGGAGGACTTGGGTAATATTGATTGAATGGTAAACTAAGAAGTTTTCCCTTTGTGACAAGTTTGAAGAGTAGCAGGGATATTGGGGAGGAGTTGAGAATAAGAAATCTTAATTTGTTTGCAAAAGCTTTATTTTTCTCTTTCATTTTATGGTATAGGATACAAACACCCTGATCACATTGTAGTGCTCAAGAAGGTTAAACTAGCACTGAAACCTTTGAGAGCCTCCGGCCACATTTTTTTTTTCTGGCCCAAAGAAGCCAGTTTCCTGTAGGATTTGTTTTCTTTGTCTAGTTTAAAATAATTCAGAAAACTTGGTTTTTCTACTTGCTAAATTTGGTACCCATAACCTTTAATTAACTTTCTTTGGAAACAACATTGTGTTCTTTTCTTAATTTAATTAACTTGAACAATTTGTTGGTTCTCAAGGATTTCAGTTACTTCAATACTACTCTTTAGTTTGTGTATTATTCTTTTCCAAGATGCAGTCGTTTCACATAGCTTTGAATCTAAATCTCTTCACTGACTGCCATGCAATTGACTAATCTTTTTGTAAAACTGAGGTGCCTTGCTGAGTACTTGTGGACTCTTGGCATGTTTTAACCAATGTCAGAGGGAGAAGGGAGAGCTACTTCCCAGTCTGTAAAATAGTCAGCTGTATATGAATGACTATGGGTCGTAAGGTCGTAGATCCATAGCTAACAGGGGCCATCTAGTTCAACTTCCTCCTAGGTTTATGGATGTGGAAACTGAGTCCCAGGGAGATTCTAAGTGACTAATCCAAGGTTCCAGAAAATTGCTACTGTCCCTGATTGGTTTTTGCACCTTACCAAGTATTCTTTGCTTGTGGGTTTTGCTTAATTTCTCTTGTGGACTATATTGAGTTTGTACAGACTTAAATTTCAGATAGCTTATTAGATTTCTTCAGGCCTTCAACTAGGTGGAAAACACCATATGACCTCTTGGGGATGGTTATTGAAGATGGAAATAAAATGAAGCAGACACCAATTGTTATTCACAACTTCTTTTTCATTACTATTTATCGTGCTCCTTTAGCAGGTTTCCCATTCATGTGACAGTCCTGTTTCAAAACAAACTAATATTGCTTTTCCAAGAAGCCTTTTTGTGGCACCATGCCAGATGCTTCAGTTACTACAGCTGCATTGTCTGTCTGCTAACTTTGTAATCAGATAGTAGTAGTATCACAGTTTGTCTGACATAATTTGTTTAATAAAACATGATGTATATTGTTTATCATTCTGTTACCTTTTAGATGTTGACATAATTATCTTTTCATTTAACAAACAGGTTTACAGTAGGTTAAAAGGAGTAACTTCTAAAAATTCATATTTGGGTGTTTCTTTGGCTCTTATTGTTGACTCTTGAATTTCAAAAACTTGAATTAGTGTTTTTTCCTTTTTTGCTATTCCATGCTATTCTCATTTGGTACTTCACCTTCTGAATATAATTTTTAGTTTCTCTAATGAAGGGGGTTGCTCAGAGGCCATCTAGTACAGCCTGTACTTGGATAAGAATCCTTCTATCACACTCAATACATAGTCATTTAGTCTTTGCCTGTGAGAGGCAACCCATTACCTGCTATGTCAGGCCACTTTTGGAAGTTGTTATTTATATTATGACTAATTTTTTCTTAATGCAGCTTCCACCAGTTTTCTACCCTCTCCCTTCTGGTCCCTTGCAGAACAAGCTTGATCCCTTTTCAATGGACAGTCCTTAAAATAGACAGTTATGTCTCTCCTCCTCCCCCACCCCCCCATCTTTTCTTTTTTGGCCAAGCATCCCCAGTTCTTAAGAGGGTGTGTAATTATAATTCATTTGAAAAATATTTAAGTCTCTTCTGCATGACATGCTCTGTGTTACTTGTCAGGGATAAAGGCATGGATACTGTCTTCAAGGAGCTGGTGTTTTGGTTGGAAAGATTAATAAATAACTCATGAAACAGAAGGAAGATCAGTATGATATCAAATAATTAAATGTGATACTGAGGTGTGACTTTAGAGAAGAGAGTGAGCTCAGTGAAAGAAAGTCTAAAAGGAGGAAGTATAACTTGAAGTGGGTTTTGAAAGATTGGCATGACTGAGTTAGATGGAGAAGAGAGAAACACCATTCCAACTTCCTTGTGAAGACAAGAAGTAGGAAATTTCCAAGGATGTGTTCAGGAACAGTCATGCTTGGAAATCAGATCAATGGACTGGGAGGAGGGGTACATGTGTTGGGTATAGTAGCAAATAGAGGTTAAGAAGAGATTATAGGTAAATTTAGGAAGACCCTAGCAGTCTTAACAGAAGTTTAGACTTCATACAGTATATCATAAAGTATCACTTAAAGTTTGGAATTAAGGAATGACACAGAATCTGGTAGTGCTGTGCCAGGATGGATTGAAAGGAACAAAACCTAGGATGTGGGGAAGATATGATATGTGTGAAAGTGGGATGGGAATTAGACATGGATGGCACCTGAGAGAATAGAGAAAGGATTGATTTTGTGGATTCTTGAAAGGAAGAATGATAAAGATTTGGAAACTTGTAAAAGGAATGGAAAAAAGAGACAAAATAAGTTTTATGACTAGGTGATTGGGAGACTGTTAATGAGAATGTGGGAGGCAAGGCCAGTTTTCAGGAGAAGATGATACACTTGGTTGAGTTTATGGTGACCTGGAGACTTTTGAATAAAGACAGGGGCCTGTTACCAGGTGATGACTCCTGGAGCAGTTTATAGAGTGGTGAGACAGCCACGTGGAAATGTCCAACAGTTTGTTGGAGATACACAACTAAAGACTAGGCTTAGAGTTAACAGAATGGGGAGTCTGTAACATAGAAGTTATGAAGAAATGTGTGTGGATCTCTGTGTGTGTGTGTGTGTGTGACTATAAAAATAACTCATTTTCAATAAGCCATAGGTGAAAATTTTCCCTTCTGATTCCAGTCCTGCTTCCTATGTAACCTGTATTACTTGTGGAGTGAGAGTTCAGTACCTCTAAAAGAATAAGCCCTTAGAGATTCTTGGCTGACAGATGAGGCAGGACGACATCACTGTATACCTCTATTGTGAAAAAGAACCTTCATTTAGGAGGAGATTCTTTAGAAGGGAAACTTGTTTCAGGTTTTTAAAGAAAGATTGCTTCAGGCTCTTCCACCGGGGGCTGCTTCCAGGAAGTCCAGAGAAGAGTCTCATTTTTCTAAGCAAACCACTTGAACCTAACTAAGCCTTGGTGCCTCTTTTCAGTGAAATATGAAAATTGTGTGAATGTAACGTTTAACCAATGGGAGACTTTGTTCTCTGTTCTTTGCTGCTTTAGTTAGGAAGGACCAATGCAGAATTATCATGGCCAAGTAAGAAAAGACATGAACTATTTTTTTTTTGTAAGAAGTTTAAAAAAAAATTTTTTTTTTGCTTTGCTTCACTTGGTATTGACTGATTTATCCATGTTTGCAAATAAAATGGACAATATTTTGATAAAAGAAGTATAATGTAATGAGGTAGCATGGCATAATAGATAGAGAGCTAACCTTGGAATCAGGAATACCTGGTTTCAAATTCTGCCTATGCCGTAGACTATCTCTGCATCACCTGCTCTCTGTTCTTGTCAACTCTTAAAACTGCAAAAGTGTTGACCTATCTTTGAGTTTCCTCATCCAGGGAATTCCCTGTAATCATACCAATTTATACCTGTCCCTAAATGCAGGATAATTAGCATTTACCATTTATCAGGCTTATGTTTTAAGAGTAGAGGCCTTTCCCCAAGTACATCTTAAATCTCTCATGCCATATGCTGGTTGAAGAGCTGTGGTCTACACCAGTGGTGTCAAACTCAAATAGAAATGGAGGACCACTAATCTGTACTTAGATACCTGTGGGCCTCATGTTAACTTACTTTTAAAATATATTATTGATGTTTTATTGTGTATTTTGTTAAGCAGTTCCCAGTCATATTTTAATCTGATTTAGCTGCGCTTGGGAGTTTTGGGCCATGTGTTTGACACTACTCGTCTACACTGTGTATCTCAAGGAAAAGTGTTCTCTTTTTTGAGGAAAAGCCCTAATTCAAAAATCGGGGGTGGAAATATTGGAGGTCTTGAAGGATTCCTTTCCTAACCCAGTCACAACCTCAGTAGAGTCCACAGTTTTGTTTTGTTTGTTGACCCCAGTCTTATAGAGTGGCCCCTACCCACAAGCAATTAAATGAAAGCATTATTAAGCCCTTAAGTTGATTTTAAGAGACTTCTATGATCCGTATTAGGGCAGCTAGTGGTGTAATGGATAGAGCACCAGGCCTGGAGTCAGGAAGACCAGAGTTCAGATCTGGCCTCAGACACTAGCTGTATGACCCTGGATAAATCACTTAACCCTGTTTGCCTCAGTTCCTTCATCTGTAAAATAAACTGGAGAAGGAAATAGCAAACTACTCCAGTATCTTTGGTAAGAAACCCCCAAAAGGGATTATGAAGAGTTGGGCCCAACTAAATAACAACAGCATGAACTGTATTTGGCCATATTTGGCACCAATAAATTCTAAAATATTTCTCACCTTTGTAAATGCATTTCCTTAACCTCAGGTGCTTTGTTTGATCATCTAGAATTTAGAAAGGCCAGAATGATAGAAGTTTAGAGTTGGAAGGTACTTAAAAAATTTAGCCCAATCACCTTATTTTACAGAAGGGGAAACTGATGCCTAGAAAAGTAAAGTGACTTGCTGACTGCCTCTGCAGGGTTAGAGGCAGAATCAAGACAAACCCAGTTCTCCTAATTCTCAGCCAAGGGCTCATTTCATTACGTTATTCCACTTCTTTCTGCAACCATTAAGTGTACAGTTCTATCCAGCTTCCTGCAGACAGCTTGCTTCTTAGCCCTTACAGTAAGGTAGGAGCTTTACAATAACCAGCAACCAGCCTTATAAAAGAGATTGCTAAGTTGGAGAGCCTAATGCTCATTTTCTCCTGTGCACCAAATGTACTTCACTTGTTATTGAACATGAAAAATACATGCCCCAAAGCTTGGGACTACAGAAGCTGTGTGATTAAAGAGAAAGAGCAAAGGCCATTGAATCAGAAAACTTGAGCTCAGATTCCTGCTCTGTAAAATAGGGGTGATAATAAACTACCTACTCTATAGGGCTGCTGAAAGAAAAGTACTTTGTAACCCTTAAAGCTCGTATTAGTGTAAAAGCACAAGCTATTTGCCATGATACCCACTCTTCCATTCCTGACAGTTGAAGACTTGTAGCCTTAAAAAAAATACTCTGAACTTTTAAGAAGTTAAGTTGTTCCACATGTTATTTTAAAAGCTGGGAGATGACATGCAGCTTATAGTTGGAGCAATTTATGATTAAGAGAGCACTTAGTAATGTGATTGTTGTCCATACCTAATCTTGAGAGCAAGCATCAAGTTTGAAAGATTGTAATGTTAATTCGCTTCTTTCTTGAAAGTCTATTTGAATCTTCTTGATATTGGGTTCTGAAAGACTGGCTAGTGGGGTGCAGGGCTTTAGGTATGGTGTGATGACCAGCTTGATTCTGAGAACCCAAAGGTTGACTGCTAGGTGATTTTTTTTTCTACCTCATCCATTCACAAAGTGCTGTAGAGAAGTCCTAAAAGAATTGTCATCTGAATCAGTGGAAGCAGCCACCAAACCAAATGAAATCTTAGTTACCAAGTATTCAAGGACTCACGCATAGGTCTTCTGACTCCTAATTTAGCGGTTTTTTCCCCTGGGACACTGGATGGTTTCTCCATGAGATTGTCTTGAGAACTGAATAGTAAATTAACCAGGGTTTCTCAGGAAACCTTATACAGTAACCCTTCCTAATAATAGCAGTAATTTCCATTTATGTGGCATTTTAAGGTTTGATAAGCACTTTACCTGCATTAATTCATTTGGTCCACATGATATGCCTTTGAAGCAAGTGCTACAAATAGTTCATTTTATGAATGGAGAAATTAAGACTCAGTTAAATAGCTTCTCCTGGGGTTCCACAGGGGTGGCAATTGAACTCCAGTCTTCTTGACTCCAAATCCAACAAATAACAACACGTTTGCAAATGGAGAGTTGGTCTTAGGTTACTGAGGGGTATTCCACATTTCCTGTGTAGGGCGGGTGAGTTGTGAGAATGAGGAAATCCTCAAGGTATTCCTGGAACCTTTGTATCATGGAAGTTTCAGTATAGGGTAAATGAGGGCTTGTGATTAATCTTTAACACCTGGAACTTTTGT